CTTTTTAAATTAAATAAAAGTAATTAAATAAAATATTACTATCTTCTTTATCTCTATTTTTAAAAAATAATAAAAAATTCCTAGTAGTACTGATTAATTCCAATTTTTTATAAAATTATTACTTTTATAGTAAAAAATATATATAAAAATATATAATTACAGCTTTATTTAGACTGTATATTCTATAATATAAATCTTTATATCTAATCTAATTAATTTTTTTAATTCTAATTATCTTAATTAATTTGTTAATCTAATTAATATTTTTAATACTAATAATTTTAATTATTCTATTAATCTAGTTGATCTCTTTAATCTCTTTAATCCTAATAATTTTAAATATTCTATTAATCTAAATTTATTTAAGATCCTGCGCTATACTAACTATTTAATCTTTTTTAATAAATATACTTTTTAATAATTATTTAATTTCATTTTAAATACTATATTTTTTATAATAGATTCTGTAAAAGTTTTTTTTAAATATAAGAATAAGATTTTAATCTATTTAATGAAATTAGCCCCAAATATTTATAATTCTAAACTTTAGATATAATTTTTTATTTATTAAATTTATTGAATTAAATAAGATGCGGCGGGTGTCTTAACTGTATATTAAAATATAATAGATTATATTTATATAAAAATATATTTTAAAATAAAATAAACTATTTTTATAGAATTTTTTATTTTTATTTTTTTTATATCTATTATCTACAGAGTAGTGTTAGAATTATAAATTAATTATAATTATTTAGTTTATTTTTAAAAAAATACTATTAAATAGTCTTCTTCTATTTTTTAGATCTTTATAAATTATAATAATATTTCAACTAAGATAAATTTTTTAAGCTAGATTTTTTTTTCTTTTTTAAATCTTAAAATTACATGCGTCGCAAAGAATCGGAAGATTATTCTATATTTAATTTTCTAAAAAAAATCTCTATTTTTTAAAATTAATAGTAGAAGATAATCTTTTTTAAAATCTATATATAAGTTTGAAAACCGCTATTTTACTTTAATTAAAAGAAGTTATTAATAATATAAAATAGTTTTCAGAAAAATATATTATTTTCTAATAAAATCTTTTATATCTACTATACTGTATATTTTTATATCTTATAATATCTAAGAATTAAAAATTTAAAAACTAATTTTATAAACTATTATCGTTATAAGAATTATAAAAAGAAAATACTATTAGTTATATCTAAATAAATAATTAGTTAGATACTAAATAAACAACTATTATAGATATTTACTTATTTTTTATTTTTAAAAATAGATCTTTTTTAATTATTATTTTTTCTAGGCTTTTATAATTTATAATAAATAAAATTTTTAAAATTAAATTTTATATTTTATAATTGTCTGTTGTCCATCGTTTCGAACTGTTAAATATATTTAATTTTAATAAATAATTAATTTTATTATTTTATTTTTTTATTAAAAACTAAGTTCTTCTAATTAAACATAAATTAAAAAATGTGTTTTAAAGTTATCGAAAAATATATATATATAACTATTATTAAAATTTTTAAATAATAAATAAATATTAATTATAATAAATTACTGGATCAGATGTAATTTAAAAAATATCTAATTAAAATAAGAAATATTTTTTAATAAAAGATATAGAATATTATAAAATTCTACTGGACTTCCGATTAGTATCTAAATCTTATATTAATAAAAATCTAACTATAATTATTCTATTAGTTTTATATAAATTTAATCTGATCTATTAGTTATTAGAAATAATAATTAATAATATTAATTATTTTTATTCTACTATAATTAAATAAAAACAGATAGAATATTCTTTTAAATTTTTATAGATTTTCTTTCTTTATATACTATCTATCTGAGAACAGTAGGCCTACTATTTATAAAATCTATAATATTTATAATAATCTTTTTAATTATTTAAATTAATTAATTAATTAACTAGTAGGAAAGCGGGTATTCTAAAAAAAAGATTTTTAAAAGCTTATAGAATATATATTAAAAACTTTAAAAATACTATTATTATATCTATTAAATGAAAGACTATATTTATATAATTATAATTATTCTAAATCTAATATTAAAACTTAAAAAGTTTAAAAAAAATATATAATTTAATAACAATATTAACTGATATAATAAATACTAAACTATTTTTAAAAACATTTTTATTTTTATTATAGTTAGAATCCGGTAATTAATATATTATTATCTGACTTTATATTATTATTTAATTTAAATAAAATTTTTTATAATATTTTTAAATACCGGGGACTCTTACCCGTAGTGAAAATATTTAAAAAATTTAAATATATTTAGATATTAAAAATATATAATTTGAAAAGATATTTTTTAATCAAACTAATATTATTTTAAATATTATAAAATATACTAATATTTTTACTTACTAAAAGTTCTAATGTAATTAGTTTTTTATTTTTTATTAAATAATTGAATTTTTCTTTCAGTTGCGATTGATATTATTAATACTAAATATTTATTTAATAATTTTTAAAATATTTACTATTAGTTTAGAGCTGTTTTTATTTTAATATAATTAAAATAATTATACTTTAAATATATACTAATCGTTTTATTATTAGTAAGAAGTATTAGAATATTTTTAATAATTTTAATCCAGATTTAATTATTTTTATATTTAAAAAAATAAGAAAAGAATAAAGTAATTACTATCTTCTATATTAGTAAAAATAAAAATATAGATAATTTTAAAAATAATTCTAAAGATAGATTATTAATAGTAATAGAAGAATCAGTTTTATTTAAGTTTATAAATATTATATATATTTAAATAGAGATAGAAACCCGGTTTTGTTAATCTCTATATTATTATAATTACTATTTTAAATAGTATAAAAATAGTATAATATTATTAGTATATCTAATAATAGATACTGTTTTTTTTATATTAGATTTTATAAAAGTCTTTTATAAAATATAGTATATTTTTTAAATAAAACAGATAGCGCAGTAGAGCAGATAGATAAGATTAATTAAATTAAACAGATAGACTAAAATTAGAGAATATTATTATATTATAATTAAAAATATATTATACCTTGTCTATTATCTATAAAAAAAAATATATATATTACGAATTAATCTGCGGTTATTAATCTATGTATTATATCTGATTTTTCTAATCTGCAGATATAAACGGTTAAGATAATAGTTATATTTTAATCTAATTTTAACCGTACGGTTAAAATTCTTTATATCTTAATCTGACCGCCAGGTTATGGCCAGGTTAAGGTTAAGATATAACAGTCAGATTAAGCTACTCTATTTATATTCTTATTTTCGATAAATTTAATATCACTATAACCACAAACTTAATTAAATTTGTATCTCTTAAGTAGTTATAAATCAGTAATCGTACAACACTGCTATAAAGATCTATTTTTTATCAAAGTGTGTAGCAAAAATTATGAAAATAATAGTGAGAGTATAACGAAGCAACCGACTCTTCGCCGTTGAATAAGAAAAGACTTATATCAATTATAAAAAATGAAATATAATAGTAAAATATAATACGCTCGCTGTCAGCACCGCAATCTATTTCACTTGTAAAACGCTAATTTCTATATTAAAAAAGACGTCTTGCAGTTATTGAAAAACAGTTTTTTTAATTTCTTGATTAAAAAAAAATCTCAAACTAGCAACCGCTTTAAGATTAAATACTAATCTAAGTCTTATATTGATATTATCAACAGTAATACTTTTTGAAAAGATCTTCAAATACTACCATTACACAATAAAATTATATTCGTTTTTGCTAATGATTTATTATGATGATAGTAATTTGGGTAAACTCCAGCTATATCTAATATCTTTAAGAAATTCTGTTTAGTATATTAGTAAGTATTTTGAATATTAGTTTAACTATTATAATCATATAGAAGTTTAGAACTACTAAGCTGTAGGACTCGTTAAAGATTGGATTTAGATCCAATATTAGCACCCGTGTAAGTATGATATTCCTAATCCGACCATACCAAAAGACATGCGGGCGATGATGATGATGATTCATATGCTGACCCCTTGCTTTAGGTGATATGTAGGGATCTATCATAGCTATTTCTATATACATCTTTTTACTATAAACTATTAGTTTCTTAATGAACTCCGGGCCTTATTAAGAGCTGGATAGGCTAATAGTTGAAATTATGTTTGCCGCTCTTATAGTACACAACTGTAAAGGATAAGGTCAACTAGGTGCAAGATAGAAGGTACTAGCATGGTATTGTATGACTAATCTTTGCTAGATGTAGCAAGGTCTAGGGTATTTTGGTCTGATCTAACTGAAGTCATTGACATCACAACAACCTCGTAGTAGACATGCTACCGCTATGCTGTGGTAACAGAATAACATTGGTTAGTCATTTTTTCGAACACGAGTGACTCTCTTGAATGGCGATAAGGATGCGAATGGTGGCAAATTTCGAAGACAGAAGAGCATTACAAAGTGTGAAGGCTTCCTCGGGGGTCATATTAAGTACAATCTGCATAGAAACACACTAAGTAAAGGTAGATCTCAGAACAATTGAAGAGACCTTCCTAGTTTGTCATCCATGGTCTGCCAATGGTAGACGAGACCAATGTTTTGAGACCTTGAATCTCGGACTTCCGGACTCAAGTCTGTCAGCAGCTGACAATCATGGTACTTCGAGCCCCGCCGAATCCACACGACGGTGATATCATGGATATCATGGATTCTTCCAATTCTGTTTCTCAATTTATCATCCACTCCATACACCAAACTCATCCAAAAGGACATAGCATGAATCTTTATACAAGCATCTCTCAAGCAATCCTGCCACTTTTGTAATTGATTCCCAATTCATTGCCCGCGGAAGCTTTCCCCTTGAATCGATATGCCTTCCATCCAAGGTTCAACCGTACTTGTCATCGGTTAAAGCTCAGGAATCGGATACGGCGTGGCTGAGAAATGTCTTGCCAGAGGGCACCACCGTTCAAATTGCGTCCTCGAGCGAGTCCAAAGTCAACGCCAGTGTTCGCTCCTTGAAGGAAAAGGTGAAAGGCGCCAAATTCTTCGGCTATGTGTGTGACCTACTCAGCGAAGACGTCGAAAAACACCTCGAGAGAATACTTAGCGCTGCCGCCCCCCTTGATCATATTGTCTTCGCCGCGGGCGACAGTCTTGCTGTCGGTCCCTTGGACAACATCGATTTGTCTGCAATCCACCGGGCTGGGCATGTCCGTTTCGCTGTGCCACTATTGGTCGCCAAACTCGCACCGCGATTTCTAAATCCGGGTTACAAATCTTCCATCACACTCACCAAAAATGCAGCAAAGGATAGATGCAACGCTATTCGCTGTGACGGGGTAGGTAATCACTGTCCCGCTGTGACAACATACATAATGTATAGCATTAGCGCGTAATGAGGTCGGTATACAAGAACACATCGGGCTGCATGCACGTAAATACTGTGCAGGACATGTGTCTCAGCTGATTAGGAAAAATATGGGCGAAACCTCGACTCCTGCTTAGCAGTGGCCGCATTCACGACGCCGTATGCTTACTATTCGAGACCTCTCTACACGTGCTGTAGTTTTCTGCCTATCCCGCCTTGGTTCTTTCCAGTTCCAGAGGTATTTCGCAATCTAGCTTTCTTCGTCAATGTCAAACTCTATCTCCGGAGCTATCCTGAGTCCTATTCCTGGAAGGAATTTGGCAAATGCATGGTGGTCGGAGAAGGGTGTCCCGACAACCAAAGAGAAAACTCACCTGTTCCTGGAGACATGGAAGAGGATAAACTAGATCTGGATCTTAGATTGATGAAATTACCGCTCAAGCCAAGTCTCTGGCGTATGGATCCGAGCTTACAAGGTTGAAGCTGTGACAACGCCCGACGGAAGAGTGACTGGTGAAGGGTATTGTGTTGAAGGACCTGTCCTGTGATAGGGAAGGGGATTTTGTCTTCTTCACAAAGCATACATGCGAGGTTAGTACTAGGTGAGAATTTCTATACATATTTCCAGACCTTTTCACCCAAGGACTCATCTACTCAAATAGTGGCAGGACAGTCCACTCAATACGTTCACTCAGCTCAAGCTAGTAGTTTGCGACCACGAGTACTCTCGGAGCTATGCCTGCTGCCGAATAAACTGGTCGACACAAGCCGATGGCAATTATCCTGGCTCCTTGCCGTTCGAAGCTGGCATATTTCCCGTGCACGGCAGTCCGACCCGCACGGCTGTACATTCCACCCGCACGTACGACGCACCCAGTAGGAGTCAAACGCCGTATAGTTTGTTTCCAAGACCCGTGTGACGTTCTGTCAGAATACGGGTGTCAGTTCGGATCTTGGCGAGTTCCCCAAGGCTGGATCTACAACGCCTCCGTACTCCTCTCGGATGGACGCGGTCCTGCGCCACAGCGGCCGGAGGTGAAAGTCCTCCGCATCGATATCAGCACTGTATATTTCAATATCCAGCACGCCGAATGTGATCGGGTGTACCGTGTAGATCCGGAATGCTGGAATACCGGACAGCGGCGACACCGACGGTGCGATATAGGAGACCGATGCCCCATTTTCAGTTGTCTGCGCCTGGTAGTCTGACCAGCTGATCTCGAATTGATCCATGTGGGTATGCCCTAGGGTTTTAGATTAGTGAAAGGATAAAGATCCTGAGATAACCGAAGGGCCCACCCTACGAAGCTGGACTGTCATATACCAAAAAACATTGCGACAATTGTCGATTGGTACGGGTTGATGAACTGGTCGAAATGGGGAGAGGCATCATGAAAGACATCCGTGCTGCCCATGGGAATATGACCATGATATAAACAGAGTATCTTCCATAGACCCTGATATCCGAGCTGGGAATTGCCCATCTGCTGTGACTATATGTTGAATGCTAGATCGAAAAGCCATTGAGAACATCTGTCGAGCTGGGATGGAGGGATTGCATTGACCGGCGACGTTTCATGGTTACCGAGCGTATTGTAGACCTTCCCCATGCCAGCTCTGCTCCTCGCGCGGTTTGTACTTCGGATTGCCTTTTCATTGGGGGCGACAGAAGTATTCCAAATGGCATGGTCCACAATGTCGCCGGTGAAAATCATTTTCCGGAGTTCCGGAGACTAGACCCTCGGCGCCGAGCTACGAGTTTCCCACTCTTTTTTGCTGGTTAGGATCAACCGAGCTCTGAACTCAAAATTACACTGGTATGCACATGGCCCAGGACGAGACTCCCCTGTTCGAAGAAAATATGCCAAAGCTTACTATTGATGATTATGCGCTTGCGACCGGATTGGCGCTGTGGATTCAATCTGCGAAAATTGGGATCCCAGAGCGAATCTACCGGTCCCAAATGGCTAGTATGGAGGTCCCGTTCCTTCTTCTCGGGTTTTATGTCGAGAGTGACGGGCTGGAAAACACAATACTTTACATAGGTAAATGTGAGGAACATGATGATCCGGAGGTGTTGTTGCAGAATATGCCATAATGACTATTTTATTTCAGACTGCGTGCTGTGATCTGTAGATGGTGGGTAAAAGATGATAACCATACTCCCTAGAATAAACCTCCAACGGCGGTTGGTCGATGTCTATCTTGACTTCGACAAATATGAACACAAGCGAGAGTGGGTATCTAAGAAGATCGATACATACGCACGGGGCTATCTAGAAGAAGAGAAGCGCGGAGATGGTCTTGCAATCAATTATGACCTACATATTTTACTGATCGACCAAGACGCTCCTTTGAAGATTCTTGACAGGCGATAGCAAGACCTGATCCAGAGGTCCTGAAATATTGAGAAAAAGACTATGTCAAGTATTGCGATCGTGTTACGCCAGCCTTGAATTCAAAATTTCCGAAGATAGAATAACTGGATAGCTCGTGGAGTAAGCACCGTTGGCACAGAAATAATACCTGAACTACGGGCGAGTTCATTGTTATTTAGCTTCAGAATACTACTTTGCCTGTCTTGTTTCCTAGGGCTAGGTCAATGTGTACTGGCATACATACATCGCAGTGCTTTACTTGCTTCACAATAAATCCGCTGGAGATACTGTTGACGTACATTATATCCAATCACCTAACATATAACATGTCTCTTAGCGTTTTGAAGAGTGCCGATGCTGCTAATAAGATAAGACCCACTAGATCCTGGCAGGAACCATCTATTGCGTATAGTATTGTACAAGTCTCCTCAAGAAGCCAGTCCATGGGGTTTTCGTACATATAATTGTCACACCGTTTAGTGAGATCAGCTCAGGCTCCAGTCCCTTCAAGTAGCCTATCAATCTTATCCACATCAATGATCAGTGGGAATAAGCTATTCGTCGCTTAAGTAGGTAGCCGCCGAATCTGCCCAAGTGAATTCAGGCGTCCATCTCGATGTGGCCGGACTACTTACCGGATCCCGCATAAAGTCAAAATATGGTTCCCGGTCCATTTTCTCTGAGGTTACTCTAAGAACTGTGTTGGACACAGCCTGCTCGGTAAATATACCTACCGTTAAGACCAGATCTTGGACGTAATCGGTATCAGAGAAGGAACAGAAAAAATATCAGTAAAGTATCCAGTGCACGGGTAGCAGTACGCAAATTCATTGTTGACCGGACGCAGTAGGTTCTATATATTAGCGTAGAACAGGCAATGTGATCGTCTTGTTGATAGGAGCTCCATTGTAAACTAAAAGAACTCCAGTGCCAGGAGGCTATACAGAATTACAAGCTGATCACGTAGAAGAGCGTCGTACACTTTGAACTAGTACAGGACAAAGACGGCTGAACAAGGAAGTCTATTACAGCCACTTAAGGTCCCCAGAGTGGCTTGCACCAAGAAGCAGTCGCTCGGTATGCATTCGGGATATGGGCACCAGGTTGTACGAACTGCTCAACGGCATGAACGGAGCATACACCAGAACCGGAGCGGTGGTAGACGGGCATGCTGTTTGTCGCTGTGTCCGACGATTTTAACCCCCTCGCCGCGGGATTCTACATCACTATTGCAGTCGCAATACTCGTGTTATTTCGTGGATTCAAGACGACCTAAAGCGCTACGGGTGGATCGGTGCTAGGGCGCTGTTCTGTGTCACCTTGAACCAGAAATCTCAGTAGTTCACCCCGATCCCCGGATTGAGTCTTGTGCAGGGCATCAATTACACAGGATGTTGCCTGAGCTACTTCGTTGTCATCACCTTGGGGTGTGCTGCTTTTGGTGCCCGAGCGCTGGGACTCTTAGATCCACTCCCCGGCTCACACCAGCAGATGACTGATGTTCGGTCTCACAGACCTCAGCCAGACCATTCCCAACCAACTTCGTCCGCATTATCGGCAACGACTACGGCGGTATCATCATATCAGATAGCCACCTGTTGATCACCCATAGCAACGACGGATCATGGATGCTGATCCTCGCCATCTTATACCCATCGCGTAGGGCCAGATATGTATGGACCTATTTAACCATTACCTTGCATAAACCCCCTCCCCCCCCCCTCCGCAGATTCTATACAAGTCAAGGCTGGCTAGAGCAGAACCAAGCCCCAATGATAAGCATGAACACCTACTCGAGTGCCCTCTGTATCAAACACTGGGGCCATCCTTCAAGTACCCGCCTCCATTGGGCGGGATGGTGTCGACAATGATACACTTATGGTTCCGGGTCCGCATAGACGAGTATGATCTCGGCGAAACGCAGGATCCAGCTCATCCGCCTTAAGGCAGATTGAAACGGTGATTTGGCGCATGAGGATTGGATTATCGATCTTGAAGAGGAATCAGACTCGAGTAAGATATCTCGGGTTGGATCGCGAAGAATACCAGAGAGGATAAGCTTACAAGGGAAAACGGCTCTAAGGTATTCGCTGGATCATGATAGGCTGTAGAAAACAATGTCTTGGTTGTGTTGTAATAAGTTGGCTAGCAGAGAAACTGGGATATAAATTGATATCCTGTACAGAGCAGGCCGGTAACCGCCATTAATCGCATGGTCGTATTACTGAGCAACGCCTACCACTACAATAACGGCATTAAACTCAAACGAAGAATAGATAATGTCAAGCGGTCTTTGATTTAAGTGTTATGTTATCTATAACTCTTAATGATTGCTCTTATTTTCACCTCTATACAATACTTATCATACAAAACTTCGCCGATCATCTATTAATACGAGTGAAATTCCCTTAAATGCGGCACAACCGCCCATTCTGATCTGGTAACCCATCCAAGCTTCTCACCTCCCAATCCTCGCTCCCCACGGCCGTAGGCGCATAGAACAGACCCGTGGGATCCCACTGCTGCTTGAGAGCATAGAGGCGTGCGTAGAAATTTCCGTAGAATGCCTGCTGGAAATCCGGCTCCTGGATGTCTGCCTCGGACATGTAAGCCCCGGAGTCCGGGCATGTCTTGCGCCACTCGCCCAGCACATCATACGTCAAGGTATCCATGGTCTTCAGAATCTCCGCATTGGTCGCGTTGCTGTCCCAGCTGGTTGAGGTGATGGCGTGCATCAGCGTGGTCCGGAAGGCCGGGTTGGCCGCGCTCTCTGGGTAACCGGTGGGAAGCTCGGCCTTGAGGTTGAAGGCCAGCAGCGAGTAGCCCGCAGAGACGGTCGAACGGAAGGCGGCAGTGGTCTGATTGAAGAGCGTTGAGTTGACGAAGTTCTCGCGCGGGATGAGGCGTGAGCCGGTCATCATCGTCACACTGCCGATGGTTTCAAGGGGGAAACCCGCTTCCCAGGCGTCGTAAAAGTTGTCGTAGTAGGTCGTGTTCGGGGTGTAGGTAATGCCCAGCCGGTCCAGGTCGGCGAACCACGGGGCCATCAGCTGGTTAAACTCGGCCACCGTGTAGTTCACCGCAAAGTAGGGATTCATCAGGAATTCGAAGCTCTCATCGCCGAGCTTGATGATCCAGAAGTAGGCGTACGTGCCCGCGTCGGCGTTGGTCGGGAAGCGCTTCATGTACGCATCCACGCCGGCCCAGAAGGTGTCGGTAGTCACGTTAGTGGAAGTCATGAAGGAAAAGGTGGAGACGGTGACGGGAATCTTGGGGTGAAGGCGCGAGATAATGGATGTCACGACACCGTAGGTCCCTATGAATTGTGTTAAGTATGAACAGTGAAGAGGGATGGGTGGCAATCCGGGGATATATGCTTACCACCGCCGCCGCCGCGAAGAGCCCAGAAGAGGTCCGGGTTGGACTTCTCGGTTATAGTAACGAAGCGACCGTCAGCGAGCACAACTTCGAGGGCCAGGACCTGGTCAGCAGCCAGTCCGTAGACACTGGACATGGGCGAGTGGCCACCGCCCAGCACGTATCCACCGGCCACACCCACGGTCTTGCCCTCGCCTCCCACCACGGTGTAGCCGAGCTCGTGAGCCTTCTCGTAAACCTCAAAGGCCTGGACACCAGCGCCCAGCTTCACGGCCGGGCCACGGTAGTTACCCAGATGGTATTCCTCATAGACCTCAATGTCCTTGAGATTGTGGGTCCAGATGCCCAATGCCCCAGCACCGGTCGACTTGCCGTTGAAGTCGTGGCCTGTGTTTTTTACTGTCAAGCGTAGCCCATGGTTGCGAGCGAAATTGACTGCCAGCTGGATCTGCGCCACGGTGCTGACATTGACGGCATAGCTGCTGTAGCCACCAATGGTACAGGTGGAAGAAGTCGCGATGTCAGTGGGGAGACAGCTACGACCCTCGAATAGAGGCCACATGATTGAGGCAGGGTCTGCAGCACTACTTAGGTCAGCGTTTACATTCAGAGACATTCCCATGGAGGGGGAGAACGTACTGTAGGTACGACACAGTCCAGTCATCGGAGATCTCTTCACAGGCTGTTTGGTTGTAGTAAGCAGACCAATCTGGGTAGCAGGTCGCAGCCAGGGGGACTGTCTTGATGAGAGCACCGCCTAGTGCTTGGTTCAATACTGACCACTGGGAGGTCGAGGGCCACGCAGCGTCTCCGGGGTAAACCTTACATGTGCCCACTGCGGGCAGGGTGAGGTTGGCGTCAGCAAACTTGAACAGGGACTGATACTTCCCCAGCGTCCTTAAGACACCGTTGGTGAGCTGCTGTGTTTCACTGACAAAATACGACGCATTGGCGATTGAGTTGGCGGAGGAGAACGTGGTGGCAGCCACAGGAACTGTCCCCACAGCGGCCAGGGCCTGCGAGCATACGCCCAGTGCGGCCAGTAGTGAAGGTGTTGAAGGAACCATCATGAACACGAAATTGTCAGCCCATATCTACAGGCCGGGCTTTGCCCATTTAAATACCACCGAGAAGAATCTCCCAGAATTGGTGGGGCATATGGCAGGACGGCCCATGTGGAATGATGGTCGAAAGTCAACAACAACGTGCAGTTGGCCGATCCACAGTCCATTGTGTTTTTTAGCTTGGACCGAAGACCGAGGCTGGGCTGGTCCTTGCCGGAGATTGCACGGGATATTTGCTCGCATTCCCCGGTGTTAGTTTGGTCGCTAGCGAGGAGCGATTGTGGATAGTCTGGCGTTAGTGAGGGTCCGGTGGATTGAAATCCCCAGATGGTCCGGGCCTCGGCCAATCCCGCCCGAGCCCTAAACTACCGGCGCGATTAGTTTCGGAACAACCCCCCAGGCAGCAATTCCACGGCCATGTCTACCTCTAACAAATCAAGGTGTCTGTGCCAAATTACGTTTCACTTTCCCGCTTACGCTCTCTGCCGTGCTTTCCATTCGAACCGTCTACTCCGTAGATACTGCATGTTTACGAGTTGGTGTGTGATTGGCTGGATTTTACTTTCGGGGTGACTAGTGCAAGCCACGGCCATTGCCTGTACTTTGCCGCGCCCAGGATTACCATTACAGGGAGATAAACGAGCCTGTCTAGAGTACCGTTCCTGTATTTAGGCTGGATACACTAGGACACGCATCCCTGCTGGGCTGGTCAGCATCGGAAAACCGGTGCAATGGACCTGCATGCAGGAATTTATCCCTGCCTGCTGCTGCACCGAGTTCATAAGATCCCCTGTCCCCTATCCCCGGGCCTCGCGAGCTTTTGCAAAGCTTCGATGATTATCCACACCCCATGGTTGACGACAGTCACCAGAAAGTGGCTCTGGGGGTAGTAGTCGCCTTTCCCATTCTGGGAGGGATCGCAGTCGTGCTGCGGTCATGGAGTCGGTTTATGACAGGAACGCGGTTCGGACCTGGTGAGCTTTTCTTCTGGTGGGACCGTCGATCTTCTAGCTAATCGAGGCAGATGATGTGTTCATCGTAGCCGGATATGTGGGTTGCATGATGGATCTCTCCCGCGAGTTCACTGCCCACTAAACATCGTTAGTTACTGGCCATCGGCCAATCCATCACCTCGTGGTATTGTCTGTTTGCACCTTCATCGGCTACTTGAACGTCTATCTGACAGAAGAAGACATCAAAACCAACTATGTGGGCATCCACGAATGGGATATTCCCGCAGCTTACAACATAAAAACTGGCCTCATTGTACAAACATTCCGAGTAATATCCTGCCCCACCAAGACAAACCAAGACTGACACCCGAGCTTGGACGAACAGTGGAACTTCGCCAACCAACTCATCTATAACCCCTGCCTCACAATGGTCAAGCTCTCGATCCTCTTTTTCCTCCGCCGCCTCGAGTCGCAATCCCGGACAGTCAACCTCCTCATCTGGTCCACCACGAGCGTCACCATCCTCCTCTTCCTCGCTGTTCTATTCGTAGACATCTTTCAATGCCACCCGATCGCGTACGTCTACGACACCTCCCTCGCCAACGGCACCTGCATCAACCAAGGGGCCTTCTGTGTCGCGACCGCCGCTATCAATTTGTTTACTGATATCCTCGTCGTCTCGATCCCGACCATGATCACCTTCCGCCTCCACATGCCGTGGAGAAAGAAACTGGCCGTCTGCGTGATATTATGTATGGGATTGGTGTACGTTTCGCCCGCTTTTCCTTTATCATCTGCAACTCACAGGTACTAAAGAAAGAGCCCAACAATAGAGCAACCGCAATTGGCATCTGGAGAATCATCCTCCTGGCAAACGGCTTCTTCCCGACCCACCCTGTCACCGACGCGACCTACGCCATCGGCTTCTGCAGTTCCGCCGTCGAGGTGCACGTTGCCGTCGTCGCCGCCTGCGCCCCGTGTCTCAAGGCGGTCGTCAGTCGCTACTGGCCGCGCCTCTTCGGGACGACCGACCAATATTCTTCCGGCAAGAACATGTACGGCTATGGCTATGGTCGGAGTACGAGTACCTCAGGGTTCCGCGTTCGATCCACCAAGAAGGGTGGGGGGACACAGAATAGGGAAGGAAATGGCGACGGGGGGGTATTTGAACTGGCCGTAGCGGGACGACCACGACTGACCTCGGCTGAGATGCTGCGACGCGAGATGCGGAAGTATCATGTGGGAGTGGAAGCGGGGGATGGGAGAAATGGGAGTGTGGATTTGAGTTTGAGTAGTGAGGAAGGCATTCTGGTGAGCAATGGGGGGGCGATTGTCAAGAGGATGGATGTGCAGGTGCAGGTTAGTCGGAGTGATGGAAGTGGGAGTGTGGAAGAAGAGGAGGTAAGAGGGTCGAAGAGGCATCAGGGGGAGGGGAGTGTGGATTTTTTGGTTTGATAGGGAAGATTTTACCGGAGAAGATTGCATGGGTCGCTCGCTTTATACACATCAATTTTCTTATGTTTATCTATCTGGGCAAGGAGAGAAATAATCGGGCTCGACTGGGTGTGGTAAATTCCACGGCATCTCCACTTTCTATTATGGTTGACTTTTGGTTGAAAAGCAATTATCTACGAATTTCAGTGGGTGAAATATCTTGTTATATCTATGATTCTGAGAAATTGTAGTAACAACACTCAGTTTTTGCGCCTTGTTGATTCCTTTGTATTTAGTGGGTTTTCCAATTCTGGGAGGGGTGGCAGCGAAGACCAAATGCGGCGAAGCCTTTCTACCCGCATGTACCACTGCCATGGTTCACCGGGTTGTGGCACATGGTTTACATGCAATCTTAGATTCAATCACGCGCATGTCGAACCAAACGAGGAGATATAAAAAATAATCTAGACTCGATCTGAATGCAAGAGCAAACATCGATCGACCAATGATCCCAGTAATCATGATCTAAGCATACAGACATAGCCGGAACCAGGTTCGGCACAATATGGGAGACCTCGTACAAGCCGCTCACGGAGGTTCCTATCCCATGGATCGAGCTGAACTTCATCTGCAATAGGCTTCATCTAGTTCAACATCTCCTTCCTGTCGCACCGTCATGTGCCATATAATTGGGCACGATCTGACATATAAAAAAAGCAGACCTGGACCTCCCCTGCTCTTGAACATCGACATTCTAATCCAAGGCAGCACTACAATATTCAGACCTCAACCACCTCTCCCCATTGACCCTCCTGACCCAATCATAATGCTCAAAGGCAGCCTCCTCCACCTCCTTGGCGCATTCCTAGCAAACGCCTCGCCGGTGCTTGACAGGAGAGACATCTGCAGCCACACCCCGGCCGACGGCCTCATCGGCAATGCGGTCGCGAGCGTAGCTTGCGCACAATTGACCATCGCCAACGAAGGATGCTCCGTGACGGTCAAGTTTCCGGCCGACATTTACGGGGACTCCTTCACTTTCGACAGCGCGTCGAAGACCTTCAAGGCTCTGCGCAATAGCAAGCTCACATTCACTGCAACGCCGAAGCCCGGCAACAGCGCGGCGGTGTGGTCGGGCACGGGCGGGACGAGCAACCCCACCACGTACTCGGTTCCGCTGACCGGCCAGCCCGCCAGCATTTCCGTCAAGTGCGCCGCCCCGCCGCAGTGCACCGCCGTCGGCCAGCCGTGCATCTTCGAACACCCCGAAAACTGCTGCTCCCAGACTTGCGCCTGTATTTCCGGAGTGTGCAATTGTTACGGACTTTGATGGCTTGTTCGGGGGAGTCAAGCATTTTTATTTTCAATAGGAGTACTACACCTATGTTTGAAGATAGAATCAGGAATCATGCTCCTTAGAGCTGAGGCGAACAAGCCATAGTAAATGCACTGGATCGCTGGGTATTGCAAAGGCAAACGGATCTATGCTGTGGTTCCCCAATATCTTAAAAAGTAGATGCAGGACGAGTAAAGTCCTGCGAATCTTGTTCAATCCGGAAAATCTGCGTAAAGTAGGTTTGTTACGGTGTTTGTTAACGAGGAATTTGTTATTGCAGTATTTGATATAGAGGGAACCACAGCAGTTGCATATTCTCCAAGGTTGTAATTAAACTGACCAGCATTCGAGCTAGACCTCGCGTTCTTCACTGATCTAGTCATACATTAATAGCAACCAGTGGAACAAGCACTAGTGGCGCTCTGAAATTCTTCAAACTTCGCGTGTTCGAGAACATCCGTTTGCGGATCATGATTCATCAACCTTGAAACCCGGTGTCGCCACCAAGTTGGGACGTGCACTTAATGGAACTGTCTCCCGCCTGCACCCGGTGGATCCAAGATCCAACCCTAGACTTTCTAGGAGAATGGCTCGCTCTCTACAATGCTTTGTTTATCTTAATAACTAGTGTGATATTTACTTCAATTGTAGTAGGTGTAGGAGTTCAACGTAAGGCTATCTGGGCGCTGCATATGACCGCACATCGACTTACCTTAGCCCTCTGTTCCGTTGAGATGATCTCAGTGTACTGCATACGCCTGGTGGCTGGATAAGATCACCAGTCCTGATTTGCAGGCGATGTGGCCTAAGACAAGCACGGGTCAGCTGACTATAGGCTGCTTGCGCTAGCAGTTTGTTATTTACACCGCACCTTAACTTATAACCTAATTGAAGAATACTTGGGATGGTTCATCTGTGATTGTTCATCTGTCGGTGTAAATACTTCTCCAGTAGCGCGCAGGAACGCCCTGGACGACAAATCTATCCATGCAAATATTTACTGTGCCATGGGAGGCGTCTCCACCCGATATGACTTGTGATGCCGCAGGAGGGATCGATGAGATCCTAGGCAATCTACCAAGTCATCGCCCGCCTCGTGAGGTGGATTGTGAAACCCTGGTCTCAAAAACCGGCAAGCCGCATCTCTCGACGAATATCTATTACACTCCCCCCTTCCCCAATTTGCAGCCGGGGCCCACGTACAAATAGCCAATGGGTAAGCATTCTCACTCCAGCCTTGCGCATAGTGGAGGAATCTCTTGTACTAAAATAAGAATAGAACTAGGCTAACGGACAGGCTACACGCCATCCCGGCCTAGCTCTTCTCCTGCACGGTGAAGCGAGCATCGTGCTTTCAAGAAAGCATGTTTCCCGAGAGCAGATTCAATCCCTACTCAACCAAGGGATAGTCCTGGTGAGCATCAACTTTCGACTTTGTCCCGAGGTGAATATTCTTGATGGGCCTATGACCGACACGCAGAAGGCCCTGTACTGGGTGCGAATATAACTACCGCAACTTCAGCCCAAGTACCGCGGCTTATGCCTGGATGGCGATCGTGTGGGGGTTATTGGCTTGTTTTTTGGAGGCATCCTTGCCCTTTTGCTTAGTTAAATATAGGATATTCCAGGGTATCAATCTTCCGAGGCAATTGTTTCTTCCTACTGTTCCACCAATTTTGAAGATACATGTAAGTACTCGGCTCGGGGGACAAGCAGGTAAATAGAGGAATGAAGTCGAACATTCACCTGGTATAGACTTTATTACACTTCGTGAGCTCCCCGCGCAAGCCCCACACAAGAATGGGGATCCTAGTATTCTCGACGAAAATCCAATCCCAACCGGTATTTACCTTGGCCTCTATGCTTTACTGGCTTGATAAAATCAGCGTCGAGCAGGTTGCTAACCACTTCTGAGACGCCATAGATAAGCGGCTACGAGTTCAACCACGAAGATAACGTCACCGCATACGCGCTGGCTGCCCGCAGCGCGCGCGCATCTACACGCACATGCTTCGACATGCACAGACCCTGCAGATCTTTGCCAACCGACTGCCGCCTCGAAGTGCAATTCCCAACACCGAGGAGGCGATCAATTCAGTTCTCTTCGCCCCGCCGCCGCCCACGGATCGGATCCGGCAGCTCAGTCCCTATGCGGCTGCCTCCGCTGGCAAGCATCTTTCTCCCACCTATCTTCTCCATGAACAAGTGATCAGCTGGTTCCGTGGACACAAGCGCTGAGGATGCACGAGGCGCTGCGAGAGCAGGATATCGTGACGGGGATTGCCATGCCCGCGGATGGGTTGCATCTGTTTGACCTCGGGACAGGCGGACCGGCTCTGGATCGCATGGTTGAAGAAGCATACCGTTGGTTGGCTTCCTTCCTGCGTGCGTCCGGTCAAGTACCTGGTTAGGTCTCTTCTTCATTTTCATCTGATACCTTTTCATCTCCAACGTCGAACTGGCAGGAACCGTCTTAAAGTATTCGCCAAAGGCGATCCAGAGGCTTACTGGGTATGGAAATGCGCACAACCGCTGGGGCAGCATCAGATTCCACAGATAGAGTAACTTTGTGTCTTAAGTAATCTTTGCAACGGCGTTCAAGGTATCTACACTATATCTCTTTCAAGTACCAGGACACATTTTACATTTGTACTTAACCTGATGTATTTGACCTGTAGTTAATTGGCGGGGTCGACATAGGTACACAGAAGGCCGTGAGTATAGAATATTGACCTCGCCCTCATAAAAATAATTTTCTTGGAATCTGCACTTGTTTTGGATTCTATCTCTTCACCGGTGAATGTGGATTTGCGGTTAATGCTAAACACCATCGGTTGAGTTTATGTATACTTTATATGTATTTTAGTCATAAGGTGACTTTTATAACAAGCGGCTATGAGGGTAGGCGTGCAGTTATGACCATGGGCCGGCGCTGGATAAATTGTAGTATCTTTTTCAGTATGACGTCTCAAATCTTCTCGACATTCCGTATCTCACTGTAAGTTAATTTAATAGTGTAGCTTATCTAATTCTTGGCTTGTTGATGAAGGGTCCCGTGCGTGCCCAACACGTGCACCAAAGAGATTTTGAAAGGGAGGGGGTTCAGGCGTACGAACGATACAGTCTTGTAAGACACCGTCTAAAGTAAGGTAACTAGTCGGGTGTGGCTAGACTGGTTTATAGTGGGATCCTTAGCCGCAATTCCCCTCTCCGCATCCACCACCTTTCAGGAACCAGCCACTTTTGCCTGTTAATATGATGCAACCACTGGACGATTTTTTCCATAGGCGTCTGATTCTCTCAGAGTGTGCGCATCCTCTACCTAGTCTCTAATATGCCCCCACAGCACTAACTTTCTTAAGTATTCTAATCGTCCTCACGATCCTCTCCTTCGCTCCTCAGCATTGTGCTCTCTGGTCCAAGAAGAGCAGCACGGGAATATATCTTGGCTATGTGCTTGCTAATCTCCTAGTTGTGACTGAAGACCTCACGAAAGAAGTATACCTCACCATCAATGTCCCTGAGGCTGCGGCTGGCACTTTCAAGCACGATCCTCCCAGCACTGGGGACTGGCTAAACTTCGTTCAAGGCCTCGTAACATGGGCTCTTTTTCTTATCCTGTAAGTGTCTGCTACGGGTGCTTGTACCACCTCCACTAAACCAGAGACGATCAGCTACATACTATGCGTTCGCCTCCGACGGCCGGGCTCCGACACAAGCCCGTATCGCAATCTGTACATTCTTGCCCTCATGATCTCGCTGATCCCGGAGCTCATCGACATGTTAGGTCTCACACCAGAGATTAAGAGCTGGCCCCGCCAAGACCTGCGCGAGATGTTCATGTTCCCTCATGCCGTGCTCCTCACTCCCATGGCCACTTTCATCGGGGGTTTTTCCGGATTCCTTCCGGCAGCACAGAGTCGAAACCATGTACACGACACGGCGCTGAGTTTAACGGGACTTGCAATTCAGGCCGTCTTGTTTGGCTTTGTCGCGATATCGTGGGTTTTCCGAGTAGTATATCCCGTGACCTGGGATACGCTAGGCTTAGGCTAGTATTTTGAGTATAGATACCCGGTTGTAAACAACGGGGTTCTCGCAGGAGTGCAATTCTTATATTTGGTCTGGGCGCTATATTGGTGGATGATTGGTCAGAGACCGGAGAACAAGAGCAAGGCGGGGAGGGAGAGGGAACCGCTGCTGGGAGCCGAGGGAGCACAACCACTGTCTAAGCCTGTCCCCGGAAGTGGCCAATGAATCATTTCCTCCGCTGCTCAATCAACGATCCGAGAACAGCCGATGCATGACTAGTGCTTGTTTCTATACTGCAATCTGATATAAAACCACTCCGGCGCTCCTCGTCTTTCCCCTCGACTCTCAAACCCCTCATTCCCTTGCCTTTCCAGAAGTCACTATCCAGGAAGTCACTCCAAGCCACTTTTTGATCAAAATGCCATCGGGCTCTTCGAAAATTGAATTTCCCAGTCACGGCTAGCTAGCACTCGTCCAGACATTACTGTTTCTCTAGATCAGACGGGGTTTTCTACCAGCCTGGGGTTCAAAATCTGTACAGTACACAGTCTACCAGGCATGAGTCGAAAGCAGAGCCAGGTTGTGCATAGAGCGCGATGAAGAGTCTGAAAGCATACAACCTAGGACTCTTAGCAACCAATCTTTTGACACGTAGCCCAACCTGGTCCACATTTCCGCGTTAAACGCAGAATCCATAGTAAGTGAAAAGCAATGGGTGAAGCTTAGTTGATCAGAAAGAGCAATCATATTATGCTAAACGTTCTCAACGTTATGTGGCAGTGCCAATACAAAAGTGATGGCCGAAATAATAGCCTAGATGGGGCTGCCTCGGTGGCCGATCCCCTTTCTTTTTTTTTCTTTTTTTTTCTTTACAAATGCTTCCACAACAAGCCCGAGGCAGAAACAATATCACTCATTCAACAGCACAACCACCTTCTGCGCCGACACTCCCAACTTGTGAAAGTCCACTGCCCCTTGTATCTCGGCCAGACCCCTGCCATACACGACCGGCTCGGGCGCTGGCCGAAACCGACCCTCGGCCAAAGCCTGCGGTAGGTACTGCTGGAAAATCATGGCCCCCACCCCATTATGATAAAGCGTGCTGGCAAAGATGTATTTGTACTTGATTCCCCGCATGCGGGACTTGTACCAGTACTTCGAGTTTCCAAACATGAATGCGAGCGCTGTACGGGGAACCGTGAGATGCGTCGGAGGCGGCTGGGGCACTGGATACGCAGCCATGGAGATAAACCGGGGCCCGGTGCATTGAGCGAGAATATCAAAACAGCAATCTGCTCCATTGGCCCCTACAGTCAGTGCTCCAGCCACAGTCTCGCCCTGACAGGCGGCGATCATGTCTGGTATGACCGTCTCGCTCCGGTAGTCAAACACCCGACTGGAGCCTAACTGTCTCACCAGCTCGAAGTTCTTGGGTGAAGCGGTTGCGAAAACTTGGTATCCTGCGGCTCGCGCGAGCTGAATTGCGCAGGTACCGACACTACTAGCCCCGCCCCAGATGATGACGGTCTGGCCGGTGGACTCAGGGCGAGCGCATGGGGGCTTGAGATTGAGCTGGTCGGGTTCAAACAGTCCACATGCGGCAGTAGAGACTCCCAGGGGCAGCACTGTAGCTTGCTCATACGATAGTCGATCGGGGATGGGACAGGCCATATGCGCAGCGAGGATGACATAAAGTTGGAAGCCGCCTTGGGTGTGAGAATTGATCTTCTCGTCGGTGCCACATGCTTTTCCGAATACACGATCTCCGATACTGAATGTGGTGACATTCGGTCCAACCTCGACCACCTCTCCGGCTACATCAGTGCCCAAGATGGTAGGGTAGGACAGCCATTGATACATCAGGGTGGTACCCTGGCCTTGGACCGTCCAGTCAATGGGATTGATGGCCACGGCGTGAGTTCGTATAGTAATCTCCCCTTCACGTGGGCGTGTGTAGGGAGCGGATCGAACATCAAAGGGAGAACCTTTAGAACGGACAAGCCAAGCTGCTTGGTTGGGGGGCATCTCTGAGGGTGCGGAAGAAATAAAACTATATATGCTGACGGGGACACACAGGTTGCACGACAATAAAAAGTATAGTCACTAGCTTGATGTTCGGACACAAGAGTAGACTTCTTATACGAGCAGAGTGCCAGTACAATCACCCTGGGGTTTTAAACCTGTTCTTATACTCGTTATACTCACAGACATACCTTCACGTCATTAGATCTGATCGAACCCGACAATGAAGCTGTACTGTCCATCGAGCCAATCAAAGTGGTCTGTAACCGAAAGGAGGTTTAGCGCCATCGGCCGCCCTTAAACCCGGTAAATCCGGCATCCGTCAGGCATCCTAGATCCAGAGCGATGCCCCGCGAGGTTGAGAACAACCTTGAAGTCACTCATCCACAATCTCGTCTCTTCCCAACAACAGGCTTAACAAGATTGGGTCTTGGAATCATGGGTCCAGCTCGTGTTAGACAGCGATCCAGATGGGGCTGTAAAAACTGCAAGCTTCGACGGGTCAAGGTGGGTGTCCCTTCTCAGCTGGACTGCAGTGGCTAATTTGCCGCCTGATATGGCTGACTGACATGGCTGACTGATATGGCAGTGCGACGAAATCAAACCCATGTGTCGACAATGCCAGGCTTATGGTGTCTGCTGTAGTTTTAGCTTCACTCAGTCTAAGACACAGCCCCTGCAACCCGTCATCGAGCATGTCCTTGCCCCGCCTCGGCCCTCAGCTGGATTACCTTATTGGGTTCGCCCGACCGATCGGTTGATAACCCGATTCCAACTACAAATCGCCGCGACCATGAGCTATGGCAAACGGCTGGATGTATATCGAACTCAGGTGGTCGAATTGGCACAGACAGTGGGCTCAATTCTTTTTAATTTATTTTAGTTTTATTTTTTTTCCTTTTGCCTTTTTTTACCAGGCAGTGATACTGTATCAATCACCCACTGACGCACTCCAGACACCATTCCTCGAGCATGCCATTACGACGGTAGCCTTAATGTACCAGCGCCATACAACAACCCCCTTCCGATTGACCCCCGACTGGGCGGAATCCTACCACTGGGATCGAGCCCTGGTTGGCTTCAATCGAAAGCTGGCATCAAATCCTCAATCCGATGACAAAGCCGCCTTGCTCAGCACGTCCATGCTGTTGTGGTTACTAGTCTTCTGCCATGTCGATGCATCGAGTCCAGAAGAGGCCTGGCCGTTATATCCAAATCTCGTCAGCGGTCCCACCTGGTTAAGGATCGCGAGGGGAAAAGACGAAGTCTGGCGTCAGATGCCCTCTCCGCCGCAAGACCGCATTTCTGCGGCGCTAGCACCGGTGGAAAACAATCCCATCATGAACCGACCCGCTCCATCCCCGGCGCCTCTTCAAGGGGTTCCCGCCTCATTTCTGCGGCTCTTTGATCTCGACTCAGGGAAACAGTCGTTAGACTCTGGACGGGTGTACCATAGTATCGCCGTCGACGTTGCGTGGGCGCTGTTCGGTGATCGACCGCTTCTGCCCACGGTCTTGAGCTTCGTCACATTTCTCAGTACCATGTCTCCCAACTTCAAGTCACTGTTGTTGGCGAGAGATCCTCGGGCGTTGCTGTTGCTGGCTTGCTGGTATGGGAAGATTCGGGGACTGGGAGTGTGGTGGATGACCCCACGGACAGTACTGGAAGGAGAGTCAATATGTCGGTATCTAGAACGAGGCTACCCCGACAATCTGGATCTACAAAAGATGCTTGTCTTGCTTCGGGCGCTATAAGTGTGTTTAACGGAAAGATATCTGCCTTCTCCGAGTATAGGTATCCGATGTCAGAAATCTTTACGTCTTAAACTATTTACAAGTCTTTTTCACTGACTTGAGATTGAGCTGAAGAGCTTGGCGCGGGCTTTCCAGTTCGACTTGGCCGAGAGAACAATTCGCAGTACGGCCGCGTCAACATGATCTGCAGGACGAAAGGACAATATAAAGCAACAAAAAAGAACATACCACTGAAGGGATTCGCTGGCGGCCACCCCCCCAACTACTAACCTTCCGGCGTGTGACTTAGGTACGGCTGAGCGGACGGGAAGCCCTGTTTTCTACACTCTTTGGAAGTATGTCCTATTGTTATTTGACACCAGTGGTATGGTAAAGAGCTGCAGGAATCCGAATACTTGAGCTGTGAGTATGTAGCACCCAGACCGCTTCCTTGATATAGCTGCAGGCGGCCGTGAACAGTTTTAGGAGTGGTCAGATGGTGCATTAGTTTTGATATAGCAGGCAGATTTCGGAAGGATTCATATATCTGCATTTTACCATGCTAACAAAATCACCGGGGTCGACCGTAGTCGAAAACGCTTTTCTGACTCAGAAAAACTTTCGTCATCGATGATTTTCCATTCGCTTGAATTCATAGATCCCTTGGACACTTACCCTGATTGCAGCTCGAGATCAATCTGGCAGCAAGGTAAGAGGAACCGTCAGGACCCATATCCGCTAAAGATTCAATTCTTGGAACACCTCCCCTCAGGCATTGGCATGCATGGAGGATGGCTGCAGCGTTCAGTAAGAATGAATTATTTAGCTACTTTAAGAAGCAGAATAACCAATGATGTCGACAGTTAAAGCTGTCTAATATTCGATTGTTCCGATATACAAGAATTTTACTTGCAGACCGGATATAAGTATCCTATTCGAGGTACTCGAGTAATCTCTAGTCATGAGATGATACATTAACCTTTCTGCTCTAAAGGTAGCAGAGTACGACAGGGGAGCCAGAAGCAGAAGGAGGTATGGGATACTCACTTTCCACCGTTCCTGCGTGATATCCTTTGTACATCGGTCCGAAGGTGAAAGCACAACGTTGATCAAGCGAAGTTTATCCCGCTGAACCCATTGAACATACTGTTGCGAAAGAGGGAAGACTTGAATGTCAGTCTCAAACTCTCCTCACACGCTGAAATGACTCGAAAATGAAGCTTGGCACATGTAGACATAGGGAGAGCTTGGACGTTTCGGGGGAGGGGGGCCGGAGATTGGCCACTTTTCTCACCGATTCGATCGACTCGCGCACGATGTACCTGACCACTTCCACATCACGCTTTTGACCGATGCGGTGCACGCGATCAATGGCTTGCGCTTCGGCCATCGGATTCCAGTGGGGCTCCACGATGTGAATTGAGTTCGCCACCGTGAGGTCAATCCTATTTCAAGAAAAAAGACCGGGGCCAATGAGCAAACTGGGTGGTGGGTTTGGCAAAGGGAGAAGGAAGGGGAAATAAATCCAAGAACAGACCCTTCACCCGCCGCTCCAATACTGGCAAGCATGATGTTGCATTCAGGATCGCTGCCAAACACTTCTAGCGCTTCTTTACGTTGAATAAGGGTGGATCGTCCATCAATTCGCCGGAATGACAGGCCCTTTCTCTGTAGGGCAGTAGCGATGAGGTCGAGCATCTTGGTCCAATGGCTGAAGACGACACTGCTGGGTGAAATACCATTTAGCAATCCTGCTCCGCGCCTCAGACTAGAAAATGGGAAAAGAGGGGGAAGGTGCTATCGTCTCCTACAATTTTATGGCAGCGGTGGTGCTATCGCTTAGGCCCTGACGTTGAGTGATGTTGTGCAGTAGGGCCTTGACCTTAGCGGATGGATTGTAGTCCATGGCGAGAGTGTTGCTAACGCTCGTCCGTAACGGCGATGGCGCCTTTGTAAACGGGCTGGGATCTGGGGTAGCTTCGCACTTAGGGCACAGCGTCTGGCTAACGCCCGCTGCGCAAGTCTCGCAGATGCAGTGACCACAGCCCAGTTCCTCCATCTGGGACCCTTCGGAGCGGGATTCTGGGACAGACTGGATACATACCGCGCATTGTCTCGTCTCAGCTTCTAGCGCTTTCCAGGCGAGGGATGTGTCATCCTGTTCACGCCATACTTTAAGAGCCGCTTCCGGCAGCAGCGCCGCGCCGTGATTGCAAATCAACCGCAGAAGACCGATCAGCACGAGGATCTGGGCCCTCCCTGTATTCGTCGGCATGGCCTTCGCAGCCCGGAGATAGGAGAAGCGCTTGAAGAACTCATAAATTTCCCGATCCTCACGCTCCATCTGCACTCGCTCGATGCGCTCGCTCTTTTGGGGCAAGCAGAGAGTGGCCGCATAGTCCAGTTTTGTTCGTCGCAGGCACGTTGCACTTACCACCTTTCTCAAGAGGTCGAGGCTGTCTGTCTGCTTGCTCGAAGCCGGACCTATGATCAAATTATTGAAGGCATTGGCGGATTCGAAGGGAGGAACTCTGATAAAGCTTAGCAGCGCACCGTAATCCTCCAGGCGGTTTTGGATGGGCGTTCCCGTGAGACACCATCGGTATTGGGCGTGTAAAGAGTGGACTGCATGGAAGGTCTTTGAGGACGGGTTTCGAATCCGATGGGCTATAGTTTGAAAAAGACCACGAGTAATACAGGTCAATGGGAAAGCCCAACAACCACGGTCACGGGAGCCGGATCTTCGGGGCTGCATACCTTCGTCAAGAATGACTCGTTCCCACTGGTATTCGAGCAATGAGTCTTTTCTTCCTTCCTCGGCTCTCAAAGTATCATAGGTCATTAATACAACGTCGTATGCGCTTAGCGTACTATGCCATTGGTGACGATCGCTGCCATGGTAGGTCAACCACTTGATTCGCCTCGGGCAGATATGGCTAAGAATAGTAATCTCAGGGTTTGTTCTATCTTCGGACGCAAGAGGGTCAAGAATGAGGGGAAGGCACCGTACCGCGCGATTTGTGATTCCCATCCGTATATTGCTGTTGTGAGTCAGCCATACTTCTTGCGAGACTTTGGGCATTTCTTGAGCCCTGACTATAGCATACTTGACTTTGGAGTAACGATCAATGTTCCTCGTGGTATACTAGTTGGGGCAGCCTGTTCCCGCCGGTCCAGCGAGTGGCAAATAAGCGCAAGGCTTGAGAGTGTCTTTCCCAATCCCATTTCCTGCATGTAGTCAGAAGGATGTCGCGCACAAAGAGTTAGGAGAGAAATCACATCTGCCAAAATCCCACCGCGGACAGAAACTGGACGTTCGAGTTCGAACAGCTTGGTGACGATATTCTGATATCTTTCGTAGTCAATCCCTTGATTCTGAAAGCTGCCTTGGGTTTCGACTTCTTACCGGAACTTGCCGTCAGGCCCCGTGAAGGGAACCCACATGGAGGGAAACTGTGCGCCCTCGAAGATCCCCTCCTCTTTCTCGATCATCATAACTAGAGCCTCAACTTGGTGCCTATTGTGTTATATGTTAGCGATGAGAAAGGCTTAGAATGTGCCCCAGGAAGAGAATTAGAATGAAGAGTGAAAAGAAGAAACCCAAAAAATGACCTCAGACCTCTTCAAAGCTGTGGTAAGCCGGGGACTAGGCTTGATGTCTACTTTTATATCCCCTGAAGCGTTGGTAGTATTGAAAATCCGATAGATCGCGCTCTTCTCCTCTTCAGTCAGTACATCCAGTCCTGGCCTTGCACTGCCCACACAGCATGTCGAGATCGAGAGCTGATCGGGCGACGGCATAGTCTCACTACCCGGTGGGAGTAGGTACTGGGGGTTCAGATATTGCACGCCGCACTTGATCTCGGATGGATGGGGATGTTGCAAAAACATGGCCTCCGCGGCTAGGAATTCCCCTACTCGCTCCTTTTCGGAAATCGAACCGTAGACAATTATCCGAAGTGAGTAGAACCTGACGCCCGTCGTGATACTTAGGCTGGTAGCAGCTTTGCCTTTTGGGTGTTTCACCTTCTCAAAATTGGACTTCGGTGCTCGACCACAGATCGTCGCCTGCAGCGTGATGGCAAACCGGCTCAGCAGGAGCGGTAGCGGCTTGCAGACAAGAATAGCCACGTTCCTCTCCACCCCTTCCACGTGAATTCGAACCAGATTGCCCTGGAAGGATAAATTTGCCGCCGTACACGTACCTGGAAGACGTCCGTCATCAGAGGCCGTCGCTCGCATAGTGAGCTTCGGAAGGTTTGTCAGCCAGCGGTTATAAGGATATTCCCAGCAGTCACGCGGCTCTCACCATTCCAAAACAAACATCAGTCAAATTTATCAGTGGGCTCGAAGGAATTGAGCGACCAGGGTCACTTCTGTGGTCCAATGTTACGGTTGTTGCTTCTGCTATCGAAGCGCTCGCGGCGCAATCCCGTGCACCGTTGCCGTCATCAGTATCATTTAGCGTCAGGTCAATGATGTCCTCGCATACAGAGGCTGTAACCGCGTCCGATTGGCGTTTTGCTTTCTTGATTGCTCTATCTCCAGGTTGAGGTGCACAGCTTCGCTTTCTAGGGTGGATCATTGTGCCGCCTTGAGTCTCGTGCTAAAGCAGATAGTATGTATTTCAGATGAGTGGGGAAGGGCAAAAGATCGATTCCAAAGCTGGTGTCATGACAACGACTTTATAGGGCGGTTCTGCGCAGCCGCAGCCATTCTTAGCGGCTTTCCAAAACAAGGCCGCGCATCCCGAGTAACTATTTCAGGAAAAGCTCACTCTCCCCATGCTTAGCTTAGCGTGTGGCGCAGTTGAGATACTAGAAAATGAACGGTGTCGCGCTAGCGAAGCGATCCCTGTCAGTTTAGCTTCACTTAAAATTGCGCCCCTTTCCCCCCCTCAGATTTTACCCTGTAATTTCTTCCAATCTATCCATCAGCCCCTGGGCAAGACACGGAAACAATGGTGCAAGATGACCCGGCTTTGGAGGTCTTCCATCAAGCACAGCAATCGTTCCGCAACAGTCTGAAAGATCCCGACTTATACAGCGAGATTCTCGCCTCGAATTCTATCAGCGAAGTCTACAATGCCACAAGCAAGCTTCAAGAGGAGGCTGCGGGGAAGGGAGCGCTTCGCAACCTCGCTCGCATTCGGCCTTTTCTCGACCGCCTCTCTTCCTATAGCGGAGTTATCGAAGCCTTTCTCCAGGTGAAGCCCGAGCTGGCGCTTCTCTGGGGTCCGATCAAGCTGCTCTTGTTGTGGTCCAGCCAGCTCTCCAGTGCCTTTGACCGAGTGGCAGACACTATGGTCAAGGTCGGCTATGCCCTCCCCCAGTTTGCCACTGTTATAGGGGTATTTGAGTGGAGTGATGCCATCCGCGCCGCTCTAGCCCTGTTTTATGGCGATCTTCTCGATTTCTACCGAGTTAACCTCGACTTTTTCCGGAAGCGCCGTGAGTCAAATACTCGACTGCCTGGTCCACTTTGATCTTAGAATGCTAGACTGACTCCCTTATTCCATACCAGGCTGGAAACAAATGTTTGAGGCGATCTGGCCGAGCTACCAAAAAAAGCTGGACTTGGTAGTTCACAACATCGAGCTGCATGCGACGTTGTTAAGAAACGAGGTCACGCTTCTCGATGTCACAGAAGCCCAGAAGGCTCGCCTGAAGTCGCTTGAGCAGTTGGCGACAATCCAGACTCTGCAAGATCGGCATCGTTACACGGATCTGAAGGGGCGGATCGCACCAGCATCGTTCGACGAACGCCTAGACTGGATCCAAAACCGGTCCATCCCAGGCTGTGCGAAATGGCTCTTTCAGGATTCCTCGTTTAGGGAGTGGGCAGATGATACGACAACCCCCGCCAATCCATGGCTCTGGCTGCAGGGCATGCCAGGGGCGGGCAAGTCCTATCTGTGCTCGGCCGCGGTGAGGCAGTCTCGCGACAACAATCAGCGATGTCTTTTCGCGGTTATAAGTCACTTGGCAAACGATACCTCCACGGCCCTCAAGGTGCTGCAGTCGATGCTTTTCCAGGCAGCCGACGAGGAACAGGACCTGCAAGCCGTGCTTCTGGAAGCCAAAGAACGCGAATTGCGGGGGAGCACACTGCAGGTGACTGAGCTCTTGAAGGCCTTCCTTCGAACCGCCGACCATACTAGGATCATCATTGATGGATTGGATGAGATAGAGGAATACGAGCGACAGGTCCTGCTGGAGCGGTTGGAGGACCTCGTCAAGGGGTGTCCCGGAGTGCGCATCCTCATCGGCAGTCGTCCCGAAGGGGACATTTCCCGGAGACTCGATGGCAAAGCTATCACCATCAATGTCCATGATCGAAATGCAGGTAGCATCCAGCATTACATCAACCACCGCGCTCGTAGCTGGATCGATAGCCTGGAATGTCTCCCTGCCACGGAGACTGAAATTGGCGTTCTGTTGTCGCCGCTGGCGGCCAAGGCAAAAGGTCAGTTTACTCTGGTGATTGCCATCCCAACCAGGTGCTTCCTATATTGGTGTAGAATGGCGCTAATTGGAAGTTGAGGGGTGGTCATGTCTAGGCATGTTTTTGTATGCACGGATCGTGTTGGACAACTTGCAGAGCATTACCAGGATGGACGATATTCGCCGGGAGCTCAGAGCCCTGCCCGAAGATCTCAATACTGCGTGAGTGATAGCTCATTCCTTCGGGTTGTCTAAGTAAGATGGGGCCTGTCACATTCTAAACCCCTGCGTCCCCAGCTACCACCGCATCCTCCAAAGAATCAACGACTTGAGTCCCCGGAAGCGAGATCAATGTAGGAAGATCCTGGGCTGGCTCGGTACTGCGCCCATTCCGTTGACCACCTGGGAAATGGAACAGGCTTTATCAGTAGAGATTGATGATGTCGAAGGAACACCCTGTGATCAAACTAGTTCACAAGACTTCTTGAGTGTCGACTTTGTTCAACTCTGCGGTCCGATAATTGAGGTTGCAGATGAAAAGCTCCAGTTTGTTCATTTCACGGCCGTGGTGTAAGTCTGGAGCTGGAGGATCCCCGCATTCATTAGGTGAGACAGGATATGATCACTGACTATCCGTGGCAGATACATTTTTAGTGATAGAGTTCCCTTCTTCATAAATCAGGACGTGGCGAGACGCAGTCTTCTCGATTGTTTGCTGGCATATCTCATGTCGGGGATCGTTGATCTTGAGCTACAGGAGGAAGAGATTCAGGAGCAGATCCGGCGGGGTCGGTTCCGCCTTTTTGAGTATGCAAACTTTTACTGGCCAGTCTTACTATCTAGCACTTTACCCTCAGACTGGGATGACGCTGATGTTAAGGTAAATGACCCGCTCGTTGGCCGACTCGAGAAAGTATTGCAGCGACTTGAGAATCAGGAAAATATCAACAACCGAATCTGGGGTCATGTTCAAGGTGCTTTTAGTCTTGCAAACACAGATGATGTCGCGTATCAGCGAGCGCGTAATATTGCAGGGGAAGCAAAAGCGTTTCACTCCTGCGAGAAACGATGGGACTGGAATCGGAAGAATGGTAAGCCCAAAAAAGCTTTTTGATTCTTTGCAAATCCCTTATGCTCAAATATCGACTAACTGAAACTTGATCCCGGACAGGCATGTCGTGGGTCAACGAGGATCCTCTAGTTACGTCTCAGATGTGGCTACGACTGCGGGAACAGCATGAGGCCCTACTCGCCATGTCCGATTGCCGACAAGACATGGAGCGGAATTATGGTTCGCAGCTCTTTCGATGCACGTACCTTTTCTGCAGGGGGAGCCTGCGCGGGTTTGCCACGGCCGACGAACGCGATCAACATGTCCGGAATCATGACCGGCCATGGAAATGCTTCGTCCCGAGCTGCGAGTTTTCCACCATCGGCTTTCACACTACTATGAGACGTGATCAACACTGGAAAAAGTATCATGTTTTCTCCGCACAGGAGACGCAAGCCTCAGGACCAGCAGGAGACATCGACGCCACGTTCGACGCTCTTGATGTAGAAGAGGCCCAGCCACTGCTCTTCGTTCTAATTAGTGAGGGACAGATCGACCGTGTGCGGCATTTAATTTCCTCCCGAGCTGGCAAGAAGCTCAAGTCGGAGGTCCTTGCGCATGCCAGGCTGATAGCAGCCGAGCAGGGGTCGCTTGCCCTGACCGAGCTCTTGGCCCCTGCAGGCGAAGAAATGGGTGCCGTACCACTCAAGATTCGGATCGCTGCTGTCACCAGCGATCAGGACGATTTCGGCGCATGGGCGTTTGAGGGCCTTGAAGTCGCTGACTGGCCATCCATGATGAGAGCGGTGTTGAAAACGAGATCAGAAGGCATTTTCGGGCGATGGGAACATATGATTCTCACAATGATCGAGGACCCAGATCTTGAATCCAAGTTAGGACGGTATAGGCGGAATTGGCAGGAGCTCCTCTTCCGGCAGTCCTTGTTCACAGAAATCCAGGGCCACGAGCTAAAGGAAACCAGGGTCAAACGCCTCCTCGGCGCTTTAGGGCCATATCTCACTTTAAGGTTTTTAGGCACTCTCCTCGTGCGCGTTGCCCGATCGAGCTGCTCAGTTGCCCTGGGAGAACAGCTATTGCAGGAGGGAGCGAGGATCGATCACCGTGCTGCCAACGGCCAGACTGCGTTGTATATAGCTTCGAGGAAGACCTCCGTGGCGGCTGCTTTCTTCATGAAGTTTCTGATCCTCAGGGGCGCTAAGACCTCGATTCTCCTCGATGACAAGGTTGTCAATCTCTCCGAAGGGAAGGGCGCTCTCGAACTGGCTCAAAAAGTGGGGTACACATGGCAAGAGCTGGAAGCGCAAGTCGGAAAAGAAGATTTTCCTTCCCATGACAGCTGATCCATTCTAGACTATAGTAAACTAGTCCTATCCATGAGAAAGGTGATTAGGGTGAATTAAGAAGGGTAGAGGTTCTTATTTTCAAACACCTATCATCCGACAGGTTAAACTGATCTGCGTTGAATGATCACTATCCGCGGGGAGTGATCATGTTCCGGAATGAGTCTGTTTCTGTCCCAGGTGGTGAAGGCAGCCAGTGCTTGTACTCCGTAATATAAGTAGACAATATCGGGTGCTACATGCCGAAACCAGATATTTTAGATTATGAAATAACCCGCCCTTGGATTGGTCCCTCAGTGCGCGGCAAGTGATTGACGAACCGAGTTAACTCAAGTTGACTTGGAAGCAGAGCAGGTTTCGAGTTTGTGAGAGATGGTGCATCGGACAGCCCATCATGCCTTGACACCATTCACGGGAACCAGAATTCAAGATATCATCAGTCTCTCTGTCGCTACTTCCCACAGCCACGTGACCTTGTCTGCCCGTGCTCAACTCCAAGAGTTGATCCTTTATCACATGATGCTGGCGGCTGAGGACGATAGCTACAGCCGCATTGCCCCATGCCTTCGGTACAGACCAGATTCGTTCTCTTCGATACCTGCACATCAGATACACCTCCTTCGTCGCTGTTCCAGCTTCCCAGCTAGACCAAGATACACCAGGTGTGGAAGCAAGCGGAAGCGATGGGGGAGGTCATCACCTGGAAGCCGAGCAATGGGTGTTGCGGGATGAGCGTGTTCATCAGGAGAGACAAAGAGGTCTTTCACACATACGAGACGTCGGATGGAGGGGTCGAAAGGATCGAATCTACCTATCATCTCCTGGATATGACACTGTTGGGTCGGCAGGAAGGGCTGAGGGAATGGAATGAACCAATTTCGCTCATCTAGATAATGAGTTTTAGAGCTTGACTGTTCGATTGGGCCAAGGAGAGAATTCCGAAACAGGAACAATTCAGATCATTAACTATATAGACGGGACATGGAGGGGCTTGCCGCCGCTTGTGATGTAAAGGTACAATGGCTATGAGTCGAGGACTCGGGGTGACTGACGTCCCCCCACATGACCGGTTGAAAAGCAGCGGCTTCATCTCCGGGCGGGGGATGACAGGCCGCACTAATGGCCGCGCTGCAATGCGCCGCCAACGGCATAGGAGACTTGAAGCGGCGCGCCCCCAGCAGCAGCAGTGCGCACAATGCCAACCCCAGGAGAATGATAGTCATGAAAATCGCCATCGGGGAAAACCCACATCCGTTGGGGGAAGCATCGTAATCGACTTCTCCAAACACGTTGTACACATTCCAGTCGACGGAGTAGAAGCTTTCGGTGAGTAGCCAATGCAGGGCCGCCGACATGACAAATAACGGTCCGCTGTATCGCATCGGCAGCGAGAGGTAGTAGGAGGATCGCTGATGGCCCCGGGGCCAAGACACGCGGAGAGGCTTGCGCTGCGTCGCATAGCCGTTGTACTCGGCCGTGATCAGCATGCACGATAGCAGGTTCTTGCTGAGGAAGTACAGGATGGAAAACACTAGTTGAGGGGAGTTGGTCAGTAGAACCAGGGCCAGGATGTTACTAGTGCCGAAATATAGCCCTGTTTCATAGTTCGGACTACCAAAGCCCAGATACCACTGGTCCGCCAAAGACCATTCGGCTTCAGTGACGAGTGCGTGATAAATCCAGCTAGGCACGCCGATACAGGCGGAGAATCTGAGGAAACCACATTAGCGACCAGCTCTGGCGATCGGGTCGGGGGAGACTGACAACACAAGACAAAGCACCCATCGCTTCCAACTCGCAGCCTGGAACCAGAACTTCCGATCGGACAGCTTCCTGGGATGACCGCCCTCCAACAGCCCTTCACTAGGGGATGTGGCGAAATTCCCCAAAGCAATATCTGTCGTTCTGTGCAACCGCAGGGGCCACAGTCGACGCCGAAGAATGCTCCCACCACTGGATGCTAGTTCCCAGGGGTCAGGACCATGGGTCATATCTTCCCGCGACATGAGACACCGGCCCTGAGTGGTGAGATCAGGCTGATGGAGGAATGAGGCGACAGCGTCACCCACTCGCAGTAAAATCCCTAGACGATCCGTTCGAGCGGCCAAGAACATACATACAACCTTGACTAGATTGCTGACAATCACTGCAAGAGCGATTGACGGGCTAAAAAGCAGCTCACATCGTTGGACTGCGCGCTTGGCCAGGCAGTGGGAAATCGGGATTTGGGGGGGCTCATCAGGGTTCTCGTAGCCGAGGGCAGCAGAGTAGAGATTCCAGCTGATCCCCTGCGCTGTCCACGTGTTGTTGGCTATGGCAGTCTTCGCAACGTCAGTCCCTTCGTTGTTCGTGTAGTCGTAAATGGAGGTATAGCCGTCCATCACCGCCCTAAGGCTGCTTTCATTCGGCAAAAACTGCCGGTCGGCCACAAAAATCAACGTAGACTGTTGCGTGTTATATTGCACATCGTAGCTGTCGAGACACTCTTCGTTAGTCATATTGGTGAAAGTTCCGTTGAAGATCTCTGTAAGAAGTGTCTCAGGAGTGCTCCCCACCGCCGCGTAGAAGTTGGCCGAATTGTTCGCCGGTACCAGTGACTCGGTTGGGGACAGATCGTCCGGGATCAGGATCATGGCATAGTTGTAGGTTACGATGGAGGCGTATACCACGGAGTTGTAACTGTATAGGCGCAGGTCAGTAGAGGAAAGGGTGCTTATGGATAGGGCACGGGCATGACGCACAGCATATGGATGGGGGTTGAGCTGAGAAGAAGCAATAGCCACAGGATCTTCCGCTTAGGGTTCATGATGCGGAAATTACGCCAGCTCACGACTCCAATATCCAGCCAGCGGCGCTGCTTGTGTTCCCGGTCCACATCTTCGCGGGTGGGGGCTCCTATGCACTGCATGGCATGGCTGCTGGCTGCCAGGAGGGCAGTGGAAAAGAGGTTGATGATGACGTGGATGGCGGTCGCCCAGTGACTCGTTCGATTACAGTGGCCGTGATACAGTCGGAGTCGCGAGAAGCTGTGCGCCGTGGATCGTTTGGAATAGCCGATTCCGACCGCGATAAAGATGAATATGACATTAACGCATGCTATCGCCGTGGCGATGTAAGCACAGAGCAAAGCACCTTGCATCCATTCTTGACCAGGTGGGCGCTGGACTCGAGTCGATCTGCTGACTTGATTTCTCCTCTGTCTGGTCGTACGCTTTCTAGAAAACAAGTGAAATGGACTCCAAGTCGGATAACTTGGAACTAGCCACAGACGACCAGTTCCAAAGTTGGGAGTCTACCAGATCGGCAGTTTGGACAATCGGACTCTTCTGTCCTTCCCACCGCGGCCCAATGCTCATGATTCCCTATGAGGCCATCAAATCTGACATGACCGACCACCTATTTTGTGGGGTAGAGACAAAACCTGGAGACCATCAGGGAGACACACCATCTGGCTCGAGGGGAGATTTGAACGATTTTCTCTCACCTCCACTTTTGCTTGTGGGCCACTTTTCCCGCCCTGACTTGTTTAGCGCCAAGTCGGTTGATGCTAAGAATATCGCCGCGTTGCCTTGCCTAGGAGCCCGTGATTGGCGGAGTCCTCAAATCCCGTCTCTCTTGCTCCACTTGCAGCTGAGAGCCTGGGACCCGTTTCGAGGATGGGCTCGCCCAGGCACAGCTTGGAACTAAGTTAATGCCAAGACCCTCTCTGTCTGGGTTTGTTCTTCTATCGCGTTCTTGGCAGTTGTCCTCGCTCCGTCCGACTTCAGTGGGTGCGTGCGTGGGCCCGAGGTTGAGTCTCGACTGCCCAAAATATCTGCTCAGTCACTCAGCTGATACATAAGTGGTTTCCTAGAAAACCTCGGACTTCTGTACCTGTTCAACCTGGTCAGGTCTCTCTGTTTCGACCATCTGCTCGTAACCTGTCTGCGTTCCTGAGTGATCCGGCCACGTGATCCAAGGCGATTCACCAGGCTTGTTTACACGCAGAGAACTTAGCTAATTTGACCAACCATCCGACTACCCAGAATTCAGGATATCATTCAATTATCATCCATCTCTGAGCTTTATCATAGGACTCCCATTATTTGTTGGGTAGTGTGTGCTTCCTCCGACAACAAGATATATATCCCCGGCCGGGTAGCCTTGGACCAAAGCACATCTTGATGGATGGTCATTGCAAGGCACACCGCGCATTGATCCAACGTAGTGCTACTTAGGCATACATCTACGGAGAGATTTACTGATTGTATTCTTCACAATGACTGTTAACCTAGGATGAGGTCTAAAGTAAGGCGACAGTCAGGTCATTTGCGCTGCAACAGGACGATGAAGGCTGATAAGACATGGCCGGGTGATCAAAGCCGAGGCTGTGGCCCTGCCCTACGTCACAAGTCCCGTTCGTATACAGGAGGTTCCCTGAACAATGTCATTGCAATGGAAGAGGTCTTGAAGTTTGTACTAAGATAAAATGTGGTGACCTGGACCAGTTGCAGACCGCTTGGTGCCAATGGCCTCAAGATCGCATGGGATGAGGTAAGCCAGCTCTCGAGCACGCAATCCCCGCCTACGCTGAGTACAGTACCATCCCCCAGAATTCCCAAGAATCAGAGCGAAGATCGCTCCTGAGTTTAAAATCCACGAGGTAGGGACCCAGTACTCACAGGTGTCTAGCAAACCACTTTCAGTCACAGTTGATCTTTTTTTATTTTGTTAGGGTGGATACCAAGATGGTGCGTCGGTCGCAAATCGAAGGCTTATTATTTTCGTGTTGCAGTATTGCAGACGCGAAGCTTGGAACGGCCACCAAGGGCGGGCAAATAAGCTTAATTTGCCCTGAAATTCAGCCAAGCACATCATCTGAGACTTTATTAGGCGATCGGTATCGGCCGAGATCTTCTATGCGAAGTAGACAATATACTTGTACTGAGCTGGAAGGCCACATTGGCGAATCCGTTCTCATCCTTAGACCCCCAAGCGTAGATCGACCTGATTCACTACCAAGGATAGATTGTCTGTTCATCTCTCGCCATTGCAGTTGCTAATGATGTGCTAAACTGTAACTCCGCGCCTGAAGTCTTCAGGCAGGTACGAGTGGCTACATATACTTGAAGTAGCCACAGATGGTCGTTGCCCCAGCCATACCAATACAACGATCGAAATCACCCACCTTGCTGTAGACATCAGTCACGATGTCAGTTACCGACTCAATCGACCACATCACCACTGGAGCTAAGGGAACCCCATCGGCATTGGACATAGAGCAACAAGGCTCCCACCATCTGGACGCGTCCAAACCAGTAAAGTCTCTAGGCGCTGGAGTAGGTCACGCCCGTCATCCAAAAGCTATAGCTCTAACCATCCTGCAGTCGGCTCTCGCCTTGGGCGCATTTGGCACGACATTGACACGCTGTCGTTAAGTCTGATGGAATGGCGTGGAGTGACCACGACCAACGTCTTTGTTGCGAACTTCTTCTTTATTGCGGCCTTTGGCCTGGTGGTAACGGCCCAGTGGGAACTCTCCATCGGGAACGGATTTGCCTACACCGTGTTTAGTGCATTCGGTGAGTACCAACTGACCTGACCCGGCCCTGCTACAAGTTAGAAATATAGTAACAAAGTGCAGGACTCTTCTATGCAGGGTACGGAGCTATTCTGACTCCGGCTTTCGGGATTGAGCAAGCATATGGCAGCGATACCGTGCAGTACAACAATGCGCTAGGGTTCTTCATGATTCTCTGGACGGTCTTCGTTTTTACCTTCCTCATTGCTTCCCTACCCAGCAATCTCGCCTATATTGCAGTGTTCTTCCTGGTGGACCTGGGGTTCTTGACCGTGGCTGCCAGCTACTTTGCCGAGGCGGACGGACATCATGCGGCTTCAATTGCGCTGAAGAAGACCGGAGGAGCGTCGTGCTTTGTGGCCGGGTTAGTCGGGTGGTATATTGTGCTTCATTTACTACTTCAGGACTCGATTGTGGACTTGCCTTTGAAAGATACGTCACGCTACTTTATTAGGAAGAAGAGGAAGATGAACTAGTGGTGAAAATTCTGTCTGATATAGGGGTTTTAGGGAATATAGGATTCTTTGTACTGTACCAATAATCACCCTAGAATGAGCAGGTTCTGGGTTCCTGCCTGAATGCCTTAGGCACTCAGCACCATTCCCCTTTGGGCGGCACGTGCGGGGGGCCCGCGGCGTCTGCTTATCGCCGACCGGGGAGATTGTGATTGTTGTTCCTCCTCCACTCCTACTCCGTTCCGGCTGATGCTTTCTGTCAGCCTGAGCATTCTTCCTCCTCCTCTTCTCCTTGCAGAGACCACGATTTGGCAAAATGAAGAACGTTCGCATCACTTCTCTTCCCTCTGATCGCTCACTCGCATCCAAAGGTGAGTGTTTCTGCTTTCTGGATTGTTCCAGCCCAGCCACTGGTGACTGCGTCCTGACCCGACCACGAATGCCGCAGACTGTCGCCTTTGCACCAAGCGGCGCATCCGATGCGACCGCACTCTGCCTCACTGTCACAAATGCACCTCCCGCAATTTCTCCTGTCCCGGTTTCGACGCCTTCCAGCTGAAATGGACCCAGACGATTACCCATAAGCCTAGTTCTTTCATTAAAGGCACCAGGACAGCAAAGGAGAGGTTATCAGATGAGCTGGCGGTCGCAATCCGCCCCGAGGCCGATGCGAAGTCATCGCAAGATGCTCTCTGGCGAGCCCCATCTCCAACCGAAGATCATATACTCGTACAACACCACTCATCGACGGCCTTCTGCGACAAACTGCTCCACTACTTTCACGTTATCGTGGTTCCTCGTTTGACTTGGCTGGATAGTGTGGATAACCCGTGGAGAAAGGCCATTCTTCCACTTACCTGTCGCTCCGTCTCTCTCCGACTGTCGCTCCTCAGCCTTGCAGCCGCTCATCTGTCAGTCACATCCGCCCCTGGCAGCGCACAGGCACTTGTTGCGCGGAGAGCATATCCTGTTCTAAGAAACGGCACTCTCCAGGCTCTGAATCAAGCCATCAGCCGCGAAGTGAGTCAACGCCCTCGGATGAATACTGTGGAGGGAGGCGGTGGGAGTTCCGCCCTCACAATTATCCTTGCCACGGCAGTCGCCCTCTGCTACGAAGAGATGCTAATACCAGAGTCCACAAATTGGAATGTGCACCTGCAAGCGTGCCGTGCGATGATCGAATGGAATCAGTCGTGGAACAGGGGCCGGCAGTCCAACGATGCCTTGTCGAGATTTGTTGTCAAAGAGGTGGAAGATTTCGAGATCTTCATGAATCTCGTGTCGTTTTCGAGACAGCAGCCTAGAACCAAATGTCCCTTGCAGTCAAGGCCCGAAGACCGTCTCTGGGCCTTTACAATTCTTATTAGTGAGATTACCGCAGTGGAACGTTCCAACTATGAGCTCCATGGAGAAAGGCACGGGCTTGGGGAGCACGAGATGGGCATCTGGCGAAAAAGAGTGGAACAGGCTTATAAGCAGCTCTGTGTCACTGCGGCCTCTGCTTCGCGGCATGATGAAGCTACCCGCATACACTTCAATGCTATGGTGAAAGCTCATTATTATGCTATTCTGATCTATGTTGAACAGGCCCTGGCGCCCCGCAGACACGCAGAGCGGGCCATCAATCTCCACCTGTCCATCCTGTTCCAAGACCTTCAAGGCCTCGTGAAAGACACTTCGCATGTATTCTCGCATGTACTGTTCTTCCCCCTTTTCATTGTGGGTACCGAATGTTGGGGCGATGAGCACAGACAAAGCATAATCCAGAGAGCCTTCGTGGAACTGATCGCGGCGACGGGCGCATGGTGTAACCACACTGTACTGCAGTTCTTACGGGCCCTCTGGGCTCGACCGGATTACTGGGGTATGGGGCAATGGATCAGGTATGCTCGGGAGAATGAGAGCGAGATCGGCCCGTTCATGCTTTTCTGAGCGAGCTGCAGCCCCTCGGACCAGACTCATGTGACAGGGTCAACATCCCTGAGCCCATAATCAACACAGCATGAGGAGATGCGGGCCTGGTGTGGTAGCATATAGATCGGGGCAGGTGCTCCAGGGACAGTATATCCGTGCATCAGGACACGCCGCCGCCGCCGATCGCACCGGATGGAGTTGTTCCGATTCAGCCTAAATTGCACGAGCCCTGCAGATGTTCCAGTATGTCTAGTCTCCAGGAGTATTGCGGGGGGTTACGTTAGTCCACCTACCGCAACTCGACATTCTCTCCCGGTAGCTGCGAGAAGACGGGCTCATCTTCATGTATATAAATGGTCGATTGCATGTTTCGAAAACTGATGCGATGGCCTCGGCGTTTTGACCTTAACTTTGATCGACAAGAGTCCACGACATGTCCTGTCGAGCACTCCTACTTCTTTCGCTTGCAAGCGCTCATGTGAGTGCTGCTCTCGATGGCAGCAGATACATGTGGTTCACCCAACCCGGCCGATGGCCTACCTTTGAAGAAGGGATGCCGATTGGCAATGGTCGAATCGGAGCGACAATCTATGGTGGCGGAGCAGAGGTTGTCGGCATCAATGAGAATTCCATCTGGACGGGGCCCTTTCAGGATCGGACACCACTCAATGCGACGGAGACCGAGCCTCTTGTTCGGGAGCTTCTGCTGAATGGCAACATCACTGAAGATAACGTGTTGACCATGGCCTAGATGATCCCAAACAACAACTCGCCGCGGGCTTACAGCTACTTTGGCAACGTCAATCTGGACTTCGGCCACCCTGATGAGGACATGTCAGATTATGTCCGTTGGCTTTACACAAAGGAGGGAATTGCCGGGGTAAGCTACAGTATGAACGGGGTGAACTATACGTAAGCTTTCCAACAAGAGGTGTTTCATGCAAACCGTCACTGATAACTGACTTTGTAGCCGAGAGTATGTCGCCAGCTACCCGCATGGTGTTCTGGTGGCGCGGTTTAAGGCCAGCCGGCGGGGAGCACTGAACATCAACGCCACAATGACCCGGATCAAGGATATCAAGTCGCTTTCGGCCAATGTGGCCAGAGGCAACAATACCCTCATTCTAATCGGCACCAGTGGACAATCCGAGAGTGAGGATCCCAATTGAATGGACGGGCGAAGCTCGCTTCAAATCCGATACAGGTACGTTCATTCTGGCAGGCACATACCCTTGCTAACATTTGCAGGAATGTTCAACGTATCTGGTTCTTCTCTACTCATACACAATGTAACAACCCTGGAAATGTATTTCGACGCGGAAACTAACTTCAGATATACATCACGAGATGCGCGAGAGAAGGAGATGCGCGAGAAGATAAACAATGCTTACACTCTTGGGTATGACGCTGTGAGAGCAGCAGCTGTTGCTTAACCCAAATTACTCTTGGACCGGGTCAAACTTGACTTAGGCACATCGCCAAATGGGTGGGCGAGTCTTCCAACCGACAGCGCATCAGCATTGCCCGTAATACATCTGCCGACGTACAACTCACTGTGTTAGTGTTCAACTTTGGACGACACCTACTCGTTGCTTCATCGCGCAATACAGACCATGCGACATCGCTTCTAGCGAATCTACAGGGTATCTGGAATAATTTACATCGGCTCCGTGGGGAGGCAAATACACCATCAACATCAACATTGAGATGAACTATTGGCCCGCCGGACCGACCGATTTGATCGAGACGCAGGAACCCTTGTTTGATTTGATGGCAGTTGCCGATGTTCGTGGACGGTCGTTGGCCAAGCGCATGTATGGATGCCCTGGCACCGTGTTCCATCACAATCTGGACTTGTGGGGAGACCCTGCGCCAACGACAACTACACTGCGTCCACCATGTGGCCGATGGGGGCTGCGTGGCTGGCGTGGCACATGATGGACCACTATCGCTTCACCGGGGATACAAGATTCCTCCGCGAAGTGGCATATCCGTTCTTCGTCAATGTTGCTGCGTTCTACGAGTGCTACACCTTTCCCTACCAGGGCTACCAAGTCACAGGGCCATCTCTATCGCCAGAGAACAACTTCTATGTCCCCGCCGACGAGACTGTCGCCGGAGCGGCGCAGAGCGTCAACGTGGCCCCCGCGATGGACAACCAGCTGATGACCGAGGTGTTTCGCAGCCTTTTAGATGCAGCCTCGATCTTAGAGATCAACCACACTGCCGTGCAGACGGCTAAAGCATTTCTGCCCCTGATCAAGCCCCCGCTGATCGGCTCGCTGGGACAGATCCTGGAGTGGCGCAAGGAGTACAAAGAAAAGGCCATCGGGCAGAAGCACCTTTCATCCTGCGGGCTCTGATGCCCGGTCGGCAATTTAGCCCGCTGTTGAACAGCACCCTTGGGACTGCGGCCGAAGTACTCCTGGACCAATGTGTTTCTCACGGGTCTGGGACAACCGGCTGGTCTCGGACCTGGCTGATCAATCAGTATGTCCGTTTATTCCGTGGCGATGACGCGTGGGAGCAACTGACCCAATGGTTTGCGGTATAACCCACTCCCTATAACTTGTACAACACCAATGAAGGCCCGGTCGGCCCGTACCAGTTCCAGATTGACGGCAACTTTGGGTTCGTGAGTGGTGTCACGGAGATGCTATTGCAGAGCCATGCTGGGATCATCCATCTGCTGCCGGCTTTACCATCTGCCTTACCCAAGGGATCAGTGACGGGGTTGGTGGCCAGGAGCAACTTTGTAGTTGACATCCAGTGGGAGGCGGGGAAGTTGGTTCATGCGAATATCACTTCGCGTGCTGGTGGGGAGTTGCAGCTGCGGTGTATGAATGGTTTCTCGGTTGCGATTAGCGGGCAGGGTTATACGGGGCCGTTCAGGACGAAGGTTGGGCAGAAGTATGTTGTCACGCCGGTCTGATACACGCGATGTTTGCTACCGGACAATCACGACCTGGGTGCCCCGAACTTAGTTGAACAGCTAATGGCATCGTACCATGTAGATGAAACCTTTGTTGTGTTCTGCATAGATCTTTAAATTTTCATCGACGAGTGTCTACCATTTATACTGCGCGGAGACCTATGAAGAAGTTAAGGACCGTTCAATGTTTCGGCCTGATACATGATCACTGAGCTGATTGAAAGAAGACTACCGTGGACTCAATCCGAGCCAGAGACCTATAGGCAAAGGTGGCATGTTCTCTACTCTCCAATATAGTGCCTCTTATCTCGTCAGCGTATCTTATCATAGCAACTTCCCCTCACGCTCGCCAAGTTAGTCAATGCCCGCCACCTTTGGCCGCGTCCTCTCGTGCGGGGAAGATCCCGTCCTATAGCCTCGGGTCTTATCAGCGTGCAGAGTGGTTGGTCACGATGCTCGACTATCATGCAGCCCTTCCCAAGCCGTCTTTCTTATCTGGTGTCGGCCAAGGCACGGCACGGCCGGGATAAAGGCATAAATACAGACCTACCGTAGCTCCCACAGGTGTTGAGCACTCCAGCTGACGGCCATGGACACACCTACTGTATCCGATGACGTTCGCCCTTCGCCGTCCCAATCGAAGCACGATGCAGAGAAGGAGACAGCTCGAGCAATCGTCCACAATGTTCCTGCCACACAAGAGGTGGCTCTGCGCCCCAAAGCCTCAAGACTATCAGTTGTCCTGATGGTGATCTTCTCCGGGCTCGCCATCGGCTCCGATGGGTTCAATGCATCCATCATCGGCAACCTCGAACTCATCATGGGGGTCATCTACCCCAACGCTCTGACCACGGCCGTCGCTTCGCGGTTGTCGAATGCTTTCATGGTCGGGATGATCATTGGGATGCTGTCATTTGGCTACATCTCTGACAAGCTGGGCCGCAAGACCGGCGCTGTCCTGACAACTGCCATTCTGGTCGTGGGCATCGCATTGAGTGCTGGGGCCAATGGGACGAGTCAAGACGGGATGCTGTGGATGTTAATCATTGCTCGAGGGATTGCAGGGGTGGGTGCTGGAGGGTGAGTGTTCCTTGCTCTTCATCCATGTTTCGTGCAACGTAGCCCTAACATGACGCGGTAGGGAATACCCCGTAGCCGGTGCCGGCGCAGCCGAAGCAACAGACGAGCAATCCTCCGTTCGAAGCAAGCGAGGCTTCATCTTCGCGATGATCGCCGATCTCTCCGCATCGCTGGGCTTCGCATTCGGCGCCCTGGTTCCCTTGCTCTTGTTGCTGTGTTTCCATCAGCAAGTGCGACACTACAACGCGGTTTGGCGGATCTCCCTGGCGCTGGGTGCCATTCCGCCGCTGTCGATCTTCTGGTTCCGCTATCGCATGGCGGTCAGCTCAGCGTATAAGAAAAGTGCCATGGTTGAACAAAGGATCCCTTACACACTTGCGTTAAAGAAATACTGGCGACCGTTGGTGGGTGTGTGTGGGTCGTGGTTCTTGTGAGTAGCTTTAACTTTCATAACCCATACACATGCTTACGGTGGACACCCACGACAGGTACAATTACATCTCCTACCCCTTCGGGCTCTTTTCGTCCACGATCGTCGGTCGCGTGAACCCAACCTCGTCCTTGGCCCTGACCATGGCCTGGGGAACGCTGATCAACTGCTTCTACATCCCGGGCGCCTTCATCGGCGGATTCCTGTCGGACAGAATCGGTCGCCGCAAGACGATGGCGCTGGGCTTCCTGCTCCAAGCGATCCTGGGGTTCATTCTCGGCGGCGCGTTGAAGCACATTGAGAGCTCCCTCCCGCTTTTCATTGTGTTGTACGGCGTCTTCCTGACGCTCGGGGAGGTTGGCCCAGGTTCCACGATTGTGCTGACTGCAAGCGAGAGCTTCCCCACGGCGTTGCGCGGACACGGGGTCGGATTTGCTGCGGCGTGGAGCAAGGCCGGCGCGGCTATCGGAACGCAGGTGTTCAAGCCGATCCTGGCCAGCTGGGGTGATGATGAGTTCCATGGGACTCAGGCGGTGTTCCTCATTGGGTCTGGGTTTGCGGTGGTTGGGGCCTTGCTCGCGTGGTTCGTGCTGGAGGATCCCAGTGCGGAGCTGGATAATGGGGATCAGGAGTGGAAGGACTATATGGCTGCCAACGGGTATGGGCATGTGCAGTGGGGGGTTGCGACTGCGCATCGGGATGGGCTCGAGACGAAAGCTGTTTGATTTTAATGCGATGCGGCCTTGTTTTCATCCTTGGTGGCACCCGCAGCAGCAGCAGCAGCGTTCTGGGGGTTCTCCCCCAGAACCCCCTTCTTTTCACCTTCTCAAACACAGCATCACGCAGCAGATACATGTCTTAAGCATAGACCTGGGATAGGGCCTTGCCTCATGCTTCGTCTTTGTTTGTATACGGGCGATAAATTCATCCGGTTGAAACAAGAAAGATTTGCTGATGTTGTCTACCATGCATTAAGCGATTGAACCAATCCTTGGCGAAGTTGCAGCTGCACTCTGACGAGATAATAATCAAGATCTTGATTGTAGAACCATTCCAAGACACAGGGAAGGTGTCGGCATGGCTACGCAATCAAGGCCACGTGATCCGAGGTGATTCACCAGGCGAGTTGTCTACGCCGAGGACTTAAGCTAGTTCAACTGTTCAACCACGAATTCAAGACGTTGTTCTATAAAAAGCATAACTGGGCTTTATTGAATCGCTACGGAACGGGTCCCCTATCGAACTCAAGGGATCGTGTTGGTAGGCATCACGCCAAGACTTGAAATCGGTCCTGTCGGCACAATTTGCCCTACTTGCCTTCGGCTCCAGTCTCTAGCCCACGCCACGTTATGACTCTAGCTCAACTGAGTAATTATTATTCACCAGACTCAGAATGAGCTCCACTGGTTCCTGAGAAGAAGGGTTTATACGAATTTGCATCGGAGCAGGATTGGACGAGGTGGAGTCCCGAGTCTTTTTCAGACACGATGGCCTCCACATGAACAGAAATCTATCCAGGCCCCTGGATCTGCTCCTCGATTGCTCTTATTTCTCTGCGATCTCCGTTCAAACTTTCCCTCATTCTTGCAACCATATCCCCGTTGTCGTTCTTTCAATCCCACGAGGAATAGTCACTCGTTGCCCACGATGGGCCTTTCACTCGCCAATGGCTTGCTGCTGCTGTCAGCACTGGCACCGAGCAGTCTAGCCCTGACCATCGCTCGACCTGGATCGAGTGTCGAAGGGGAGACTGTTGCAACCCTCACGTCTTCCTACACAACCACCCTCACCAATGTCGTTACAAGCACATCCACTGTCCTGTCCACCGCTGTTACCTGCACTCCTGCCACAACCACCCCTCCATCTTCGGCCCAGTGCTCGAATTATATTTGGTGGCGTTCCGGCACCTGGTATGAAGAATACTGCACGGATGCCTCGGTCGTCGGAGGCTCTACTGCAACGCAGCTGTCGGCGATGGGTCAGTATGTCAACAATATCAATCAGTGCGTGCAAGTCTGCGGAATGGTACCGAACATTTGTAATGCGATCAACTATGACCCGGCGTTGAGAACCTGTTACTTCATCTCGGCGGCCGCCAGCCAGACCCTCGGATCCGGCGCCGGGTATCAGGCGATAACGTGGCATACCACCAACCCTTGTGTGGGCACCGTGACTGCGTCCTTGGAGACTGCGTATTCGACCGAGTATGTGACCACCGACTATACCACGACGTATACAGTGACAATCTCCAGCACCCCGACGCCCTCCCCGACGACCATTGCGACTCCTTCGTCGGTGGTCCAGCATAGCCAAAGTGCACCGATCGCTCGTGTTTCGACTGGGTCTGCTGCTGTTTCGGTGGCCGTCCCCTCGCCGGCCGCTTCGTCTATGTCGACTTCATCGTCTGACCCAAGCTCCAGCGTGAGGGCTTCATCTGCGTCTGTTGCGCCGTCCATGGTGTCTTCACCAGTCCACTCTTTAACTCCTAGCTCGAGAGCTGTCATCCCACCATCTGCATCATCGAGTCCTAGCTCGTCTACGGCGCTTGTCATTCCCTCGCCCTCGTCGGTCGCACCCTCCATCGCTCGCAGCTCATCACTTGCACCCCATGCTTCTGCGAGCATTCCCATTATAAGACCCAACAGCTCACTCGGCGGGATCCCAACCCCCTCAAGCTCGGCGATCAGCTCTGGCCGGCCTACCCGCCGCACCACGACCATCTCCGTCACCGAAACGATCACCTCTAGTACCACAATATGCTCATCTGCAGGCACAGCACGAACATCCCTTCCCGCTGAACCAGCAGCATCCAGCATGGAACAGGCTACGACATCCAGCGAGGTTGCAATGACCACCTCGACGGTGCTAACGACCCGGACGGCGACCATCACCGCTTGCCCTAGCTCGGTGACCAACTGTCCCGCCAGATCTCGTACTACGTTCCTAACGACAGAGACTATCGTGCTGTCGACGACAGTCTGCCCTGTGACTGAGGCTAGCATCCCTCAGCCCACTGGAGTCGATGGAGATGCGAGCGCAGCTCACAGTGACAGTTCCGCTGAAGGGCATGGGTTCACCACCTCGACCGTCTTCAGCACCCGAACAGCTACCATCACCGCATGCCCTAGCTCCGTGACCGACTGCCCGGCCAGGTCGCGTACTACGTTCCTGACGACAGAGACTATCGTGCTGTCGACGACAGTGTGCCCAGTCACCGGGACTAGCATTCCTCAACCTACGGGTACCGATGTAGCGAGCGCAGCTCACGGTGAAAGTCCTCAGGAGCAAGGGTTCACCACATCGACCATCTTCAGCACACGAACAACCACCGTAACAGCCTGCCCCGGCGCAGTGACCGATTGTCCCGCTCGCTCCAAGACGACCTTCCTAACGACCGAGACGATCGTTGCATCCACGACAATTTGTCCCGTGACACGCACAGACGAAGCCACTATCCCCACTGCTTCCGGTTCCGGCAAGACACCCACCACTGTCGCCCTTAACGATCACAGTGCAAATGGATCGTCTACCCAGCTCGGAGAAGAGTACACCACCTCGACGATCTTCAGCACCCGCACCGCGACCATCACCGCCTGTCCCGGCTCTGTCACGAACTGTCCAGCCCGGGCTAAGACCACGTACCTGACCACCGAGACCCTCGTGGTGTCCACTACTATCTGTCCCATCGCAGACGTGACGAGTCTCGGCTCAGCTGGGCAAACTCTCAGCTCAGCCGGCCAAGTCGCCGACGTAAATGCCCTAGGCTCCACAGGCACAGCTGTTGATCTTGGCCAGGGGGCTGCCACAGCTTCAGCATCCACGACGCTCAGCACGCGCATCGCCACTATTACCGCCTGTTCTTCGGGGCAAGTGTGCGATGCCACCGCACTGACCACGGACTACACCACCGAGACACTCGTGATGCCCGTGTATGCCACATCTACCGGTATGGGTACTGACTCCGTCCCGGAGGGTGTCGATGCGATCAACGCCCACGGAGAAACTACAACTCTCCCTGCTACCACGAGTGCGGGATTCGCGGCAGGCAACGGAGCCACGGTGGAAGGGTGCTCGGCCGGCCAGCTGGCGTGTTCTGCCACTAGCACAGCAACGAAGACATACACTCTCGTTGCCGTCGGCACTGCGGGCCCAGCCCCTGCTGCTCCTAACGCTGAGACAGCTGTTCAATCCGTGCATGGAATGGTCGGCAATTACACGAATGCCGCAATGCAGACCGCGTCTCGTCCGCCGGCGGGTGGCAGCTCCAGCGCCGTGCATGCGGCCTCGTCACCTTCGACGGCTACATTGGCTGCTACGGTGTCCACGGGTACCGGATCTAGCACCAGCAGCTCTACATCCAGTGCTGTGAACGCGCTGTTTACTGGCGGTGCCGTGGCACGCGCTCCTTCTTTCATTCTCGGAGCAGTGGCCGTATTTTTCGCTGCAGTTATTTTGTAGTTAGACTAGCTACCTACCCATCAAGTCTATCTCATTCTCAATTTGTTTATCCCAATCATGCCGCAATGTCTCTAGTTGAGTAGGATATGTTCTCAAAGCTTGCTGCTTCGCGGCTGCATCGCCTCATCTTTCGCAAATTTATAATAGTACTCCAGACTCTGGGGGTTGAGTAGGGTCCCGGAGGGCTTGATGATTCTCCCCGAGACGATCTGCTTGACGGGAAGCTCGACCTTTTTGCCATTGACCGTTGTCTACACCGTCCATTTAGTAAATAGTGATCACTGGCAAGAAAGAAGTGTCGACAGGGAGAGGCATACCGGAATCTCAGGGGTCGGAAATACAAAAGCTGGCACATGGCGGGGACTCAGCTTGCGACGAATCGTCGTCCTGATCCGCTGCACCAGATCCTGGCTGAACGATACTTTGGGCCTCAAAAGGAGGAACAGAATCACTCTCTCATCCGTATCGGACGGTCGCCGTTGACCCACACAGATAGAATCAACCACCTCGGTCGCAAACTCGTCTTCGATGACTTGGTAGATCTCCGCCGATCCGAAGCGGACGCCGGACGGGTTCAAGACCCCGTCTGCGCGGCCGTGGAAGAGCAGCTGTTGTGTCACGGGGTGGATGGACACGAAATCTCCATGTGTCCAGACGCCTGGCCATGATGTCAGCTTACAGACCTCAAATGTCACTTGGGGCATACCTTTGAACCGGTTGAAGTACGCATTGTGGAACTTCTCGGCTCCCCCCGCCCCCAGAACCCCACAGGGACATTCGGGAACGCGGCAGTCGCGACCAGATCCCCGGGTGTACCGTGGGGCACCGAGGAACCTTTCACACCGTCGCCTTCGATCGACGAGTCGTAGACCTCCACCGGCACGCCCAGGCTCATGCCGGCACAGCCGCCAGAGTAGATTGGCAGCAAGGGGTTTGAAATCCCGAAGCATCCTGCAATGTCGGTGCCACCGGAAATATTGTTGAGTCGCACATGACGCGGAAACCCTGTGTCGTAGAACCACTCGAACAGACTCTCAGGAAGCACCATGCCGGTGCTGGTGACGACCTTGAGGGATGAAATGTCGGCTAGCTCTCGGGGCTGGATGTAGGCTCGTTGCAGTTCGAGGAGGTATCGCGGAGAGATCCCCAAGTGTGTCAATCTATGCACTGATCAATACCTTTCATTTGATGAATTAACACCATCGGAAATAGGTGTCTTACCGCTCCTGTGCCGCGAGTTTGATCAAAGATGCCACCTCCGGGAGGAAAGGGCTCCCGTCGTAGAGCACCGCCCGCGCCCCGACGAGCAGACTGTTGATGACTGAGAGATACATGATCCACCCGGTGGTGGTATACTGCAGATTCACACTGTCCGAGTCCATCTCACTGTGCAGGAACAGCTCCTTGAACGCGTTGAGCATCACCCCACCGACGGAGTGCATGATGCATTTCGGCTGGCCCGTGGTGCCGGACGAGTACACGATGAGGAAGGGGTCTCGGAACTCGACCTGCTCGAAAACAAGGGTGTCGCCGATCGCAAGAGCCTCCCACACCTTCGACGGGAGTGTCCGCGGCAGGTGACCGACAGGTGCAGGTTGCGTAGCAAACCTGGGCTGTGCCACGATGCCTCTGAACTCGGCAATACCGCCCATTCCGGCGATGATGTCCCGCATCTTCGGTCGGAGATCGATGACCTTGCCGTTGTAGAATGCCTGGTCGTCCATGAACAGCCAGCGGGGCTTGATCTGTCGCAGCCGGTCGAGAATCCCCTTGACGCCCATATCTGTGGAGCTCGACGAAAAGATCCCACCCAGCGCCGTGGTGGCCAGAAAGACGAGCAGCGTGTCGATGCTGTTACCGGCACAGACCGCGATCCGGTCGCCCTTTTGGATTCCGTGCGCCTTCATCGCCTGCACTAAGCGACCGGTGCGTTTGCGCAGCTCCCCCCATGTGAGATGTCTGGCCTTCTTGTGGCCCCCCTCGCGCACCTCGGTGATAGCGATCTTCTCATCTTCCTTCCCGACCGTGCTTGCTTGTGTCCCGTGGCCGGAGAAGAGGATGTTTTGGGCGTAGTTGAGCTGGACGCCGTCAAACCATTGCGGGACTGAATCGATGGGAGCGGTCTCGTCGACGACGGAGGTGTAGGTGCCTTGGTGCAGGACGTCGAAGTATCGCCAGCAGAAGTCCCAGAATGTAGCGCGCTTCGTCACGGAGTGGTGATAGAGATCGTGGAAGGTCTAGCAGAATTAGTGGGTCAAGCTTGGTGGAGCTGAGAAACGAACCCACTGGAATTGACACGCCTAGCTCCTGCTCCCAGGCTCGGCGGAAGTGAGCCATGCTGGATAATTCGGGGTGGGGATGCTCCCAGAGCTTGCGGGGAATCGACGGGGAGGCCATGGCGAGATGATTCGTGATGGTTTCACCAAAATCACGATAAGGGGAAATTGATGGAGGGATGAAGATGAAATGACAGAGGAAAGAGTGATGGAAGTGGAGGGAGAAACAAACACCGACCCCTTGCATGGATGCTGTGTTTCCCTCCCTGTCCGCCTTTCTCCGCCTTTCTCCTCCCCGCACGTCTCCCCGCACTTGCACGAGAGGAGATGCCGAGGTTGTTCCCAGCAGTATGACCGACTCGCTTGGCTCTACGGAGCAGTTTATTGATACTCTAGGCGCGAGTTGCTTCGAATCCAAACTGCGAACTTCGTTCAGTAGGTACCGAGCGATCTTACAACTCAAGCTCGGTTGGATCAAGTTGCCCTCTGTGCTTATATAAATCATTCGGGCCGATTCCGAGAGTAATTAGCCAGGACTCGTATACTAGACAACAACAAATATAACAAAAGAGCCAAAGGCAAAATGCTCTGACACTTTAGCATCAATCTCAACTCCACACCAGCATTTCGTAGGGAAGGCAAAGCAAACTCATTGACGTGATTGACTTGCGTCGAGCAGACTTCGAAAGAGACCATTCCCCTCCTGCAGCTCCCGAGGCTGGCCCATCTCCACCAGTCGACCATCCCCCATCACCACTACCATATCGAAATCCAGTAACCTTTCAATCTGGTGCATAACAGCAATGACTGTCCGCTCCTTGAATTCCTCCAAAATGACTCGGTGGACCAAATCCGCCGTTTCAGCTGTGAGGCTGCTGGCCGGCTCGTCCAACACCACTACCGACCCAGACCGCAGGAGGGCTCGCGCACAGGTAAAAAGCCGACTCTGTCCGGCAGACATTGCCTCATTGTCCAGGATAGCCGAGAGACCTCCTCGTTTCGAGACGAAATTCCAAAGATCGACTTTCTGCAGGGCTGCGATGAGTTGAGAATCTTCCGATGGGTTGACACACCCCAGCTGCAGATTATCCCGAACGGAAACTCCCGGCATGATGTAACTGTGTTGAGATATACCAATCAGATGCGATTGGACCAACCCGGGGTCGAGCGCTGCGATATCAACGCCGTCGACGACGATACACCCAGAGGTGAGGTCGATCATCTGAAACAGTGCAGAGATCAGAGTGCTCTTTCCGCTGCCCGTTCGACCGCAGACCCCCACTTTGAAGCCGGCGGGGATGGACAAGCAAATGTTCTTGAGCACGTCGGGATCATTCTTTTGGTATCGGGCAGTCACATTTTTGTATTCAATTGAGCCATGCGGGGGCCACAGACCCCCAATCGCCTGGACAGGAGGGTTGTTTTGCTGCTCGAGGAGACGATCGGTTCTGGCTTGGACCGTGAATTCTTCCAAACGTATGATGGATCCGAGTGAAATCTCCATCACCGCCCATTGAAGGATCAGCAGTTGCAGGGTCTCATTCAGGGAGATGACATTGACCAATGCGAGTCCGACCAGCGTCGACCGAGTTTGCAGTCTGATGGCCAGTCCGACCACAAGAATCGCGACTCCCGCAGCTACCATGTCGAGCACGAGGTTCAGCCATCTTTGAACCATGAATCGCTGGTAGTAGGGCCTCTGTGACGCGTTAAGAAGTGCGTCGTGCTTTTTGCGGATGTCGTGCTGCCAGCCAAATGCACGAACTGTATGGAGGCCATTTATGGTCTCGAGGAAGTGATCGCTGAAGATTGACAGGCACGAAAGTCAGAAGCGGTTGGAATTATGGGCAAGCCGTAGTTGCGAACTTACAGCAGCGGGCTCTTCGCCTCAATGTCCATCGCGCGTATTTGCTTCGATGTGTGCAGGTAAAACCTCTGAATGGCGAGCATGAGGGCGAAGAGAACTGGAAATGCGATGAAAATGTAGGGAAAGGAGCTGTGACGGGGATTAATAACAAAACAGATAACTCAGCGACATCCCGCACCTTGCGATGATGATGACCTGTGCCAATGTCGCGAGAGCACCTGATGGAAAGGTTAGAGCTCAAATCATCGCGGGTAGAGACGACATGGTCACCTTCCGAGGCATTCAGAAACGTGACTGGTAGGTTCCAGTCGATTAATTGCAAATCTTGGCTGAATCTGCTCGATGTCAGTTTCATCCAAAACAAGCCCACTGGAATGAAAAGAATAGTTCACTTGTTGATGATTGACCCCGTGTCAATCCTGCTGAAATCCGGCATTGGCATTCTGGAAACATCAGTACCATGGACCATGTTCCGAGTCTCAAGACTCACCCCATGGCAGCTGCCAAGAGACGACTGTGGAAATAGCGACTGGTCTGTGGCATGACAATGCGCAGTTGCTGGCTAGATCCAAGGTCAGTCTTGAGCGTACCCGACGCAAGATATGCATGCTTACAAGGCGGCAAGAAGGGTGAATATCATGGATGCAGCCTGAAAGAGACTGTAGACTCCGATGTACTTCGCGTATGAAGACCCCATGCTCGAAGGGTCTTTATCCAACCACCAGTGAAGCCAGACAGCTGGATGTATCTGTGAGTCCCCGTGTGTCTGGTTTATTGAGGTCTGACATACTGGGAAACTTTGAGAAAAGTGTCTGGAGAATCAGAAGAGCACATAATACCATGCTTCGCCAGAAACCCATGGAGCGGAAATAGGAACGATAAACTGGAACATTGCGATGTTCAGGGCCATCGTACCCTGGTTCGGTCTGTTGGACTTTCTTATCGGAAGATGTATTCGGAACTGACAAAGCTTCTTGGTTTGAGATGTAGATATCGTCGTCTTCCATGTTGTTGCCCTTGGATGGAATAGTGAAATGTGATGCCAGTTCTTCCGGCGAGCCCTGGGCCCGGATCCTGCCATTAATGTCAAGAAGAATAATCAGATCGGCGTACGGTAACAACCATTCTAGAGCAGCAAGGTGTCAACCATTGAATCAGAGGCTATCGAGCTTTCACTGACCTCCGTTGGAAGCAGCAACCACAGTCTGTCCGTTCTCTCGCATCATGCCTTTGGGTCCGAGAAGGCGCCGCGCAACCTTCCCCTCCGTGCGAGGATCAAGCGCACTGAAACTATCGTCGAGAACAAAAAGCTCTTTTCGCGCATATACGGCTCTGGCCATCGCCTGTTCGAAATATAGTCAGAGCATACACTTCCATCACAAGTCGAACACAAGGGCAATTGTTTACAATCCGCTGTTTCTGTCCCCCACTCAGCGTGACGCCGCTACTTCCGACCTTGGTGTTATCCCCTTCAACTATTTCGCGAAGATCGTGATCCAACTCGCAAGCCCACAGTGCTTTACTGTAGAGCTCAGTGTCAAGGTCTTGATCGGGACCAACGATGTTTTCTCGGATAGAACTATTCAGAAGCCAAGGAGATTGGTGGCAATACGCAGGATCTCGGACTTTCTTTTCCACGCTGCCTGTGAGTAGATCCATTTCTCCAAGCATAGCCCGGAGAAGTGCTGACTTTCCACTGCCGACGGGTCCTAAAATTAGTGTGAGCTGCGACCGTGGGATGTTGACCGTAATGTCTTGAAGCACGGCAGAAGATGATCCAGGGTAAGAGAAGCTTGCATTATTGATGGTCAAGGCAAATCGAGATGGGTCCCCTGGTTCCTGATCTGATGAAGGACATGAAGGGTTGATAGTCTCCATTGCCTGCTTTTCAGAGATAATCAGGGTACCTGGTGTTCTGGGTGAAACCCGGTAGTCCGCGTGGGCTGAACTCGCGAGGAATCCTTCAATTCGGTCTAGGCAGCTCAGTGCCGCCACAACCATAGGAACCAGTTGAAACACAGCCACCAAGGGGGATGCGATGAGACCTAGGAGCGAGATAGCAGTATAGATATGAGATGCACTGGATGAAGTCCAGGCGTTAGATTGAATGGCGGCGTAGATGGTCAAAGTCACCACGGGGGATATTGCCGAAGGAGCGTACGCTGCGGAATGCATGATCAGATCATAGTATCTTGGCGTGGTAGCCCATACTCACCCAAGCCCATAACCCACACTAAGATCGTACGGTATCTTGAAGCAGATTGAAGCTCGCTATCACGCAGATCAGAAAGCCTATCGGAAATGCTTTTCGCAAAACCGGATAATTTCACAGTTTTCATGTTTGAAAGAACTGATGTGGTGGCATCTATCGAGGATTCGAAACATTAGCCATGATTTAACAAGGCAGAACCAACTGTTCTGGAGCACAAACTCAACCGTTTTTGTACGCTCGTCAACCATGCTTTCTGACTTTGACCCACATGCTGGGACAATTTGTATGTAGCAATGGCGCAGGTCGCTGCCACGATAGCAGGAGAAACGCACGCCGCCCCGACTTGCCGCTCCAACAGCCAGGTTGCGATGCCGATCTGCAACAGACTAAAATAAACCTCGTGGAGCTGCTCTAGTCCAGTGCATGCCATCTCTACATCGGTGCTCAGCAGAGCCACAGTAGCCTTCTTTGCCTCGACATCACGGAGTTGGAGTGCCTTTCGATAGATCGCTGAGATCAACGTTCCACGGAGGGTCGTGATGAATCGGAGCTGAAGACGCCAATAAGCACCAGTGGCGATAGCCTGGCCTATATACAAGATGGCATAGGCTCCTAGTAAGCCGTAGCCTATGTTCATGTCGCGATGGGAAGCCTGTTCTAGCCAGCGAAGAAGCTCCAGCATTAGAATCGGTTGTAATAAGGTGAATGCTAGAAGGAAAATTCGCGGCATTGCTGGACGCAACAGCCTGAACATGAAAACCCTCAACGCGGCTTTGACAAGCCTATAATTCTTTGCCTGGCTCTTTTCGAAAGCCTCTTCAAACCCCTGGTCTAGTCCAACGCCAATGCATTCCCCTGGAACATTGTAGAGGTCGCTCAAGCAAAGAACCTTTCTAAACCCCCTCCAAAGAAGAGAGTTTGTCCACAGGAACAGGCCATTGCTAAATAGTCCTCTCGTTTCCTCGGGCGATCGTGCAGCATCATGTGAGTCGAGGAAGTGCTCAGTTTTTTCCCTTGATTCAATGAAAAGAATGGACACTTTCATAGCTAGACTGAGTGAAGCGATCACCTGGAAAGGCAGCCTGCCATGATGAAGCAGCCATATAGTTCTCAAACGAGCGGCATCGAGCAATGTCGTCAACAGAAGATAAGAAAGCAATATGCCGGATGGGGAGATCGCCCTTCCATGTTCCAAGTACGAGAGTAAACCGACAAAGATGGAGTCTGCCACTGCTAGAGCCAATGCTGCAATTCCCCACGGCTGATGATCCGGGTGCTGCGGTCGGGTGTAAATGGCAAGAAGTGACAACTGGAGCAAACCAAAGACGCCTGCCAGAGACTGCAACAGGATTAATAAGATATATCTAGTAGATCTGCATGCTACCGAGGATACCAACCAGCTTCAGTCTTTGGGAAAGTCGCGCCCCAACCTTGGGGTTCTCCTTGTAAAGAAGGGCAATTCGAATGGCTGCAGAACTAATGAAGAGCACTGATGGGAGAACTGACAAAATACTTTCTTCAAATGTGACCGTAAAATCGAAACTTCGGCAGCGCACGGAGACCTGCGGACCCAGTTGGCGATCTGCCAGAACGCAGGACGCAGTTTGATTGATCGAGTTCATATGGCTGTGCGTACCGTACTTGTATATGGCCTCGGATGAAAGGGGGGGGGTAGGGGAGGGAAAGCAGCGGGAAGGATAAGGGGCAACAAAGGCGCAGGAATAGATGGACGGGGAACGTCAGGGGATTTTAATGCAGGTGCGGCCGACCAAAAGTCCAGTCAGTGCCTTATTTGTTCGTGCTGCTGATAAGCAGCTGCGTGATTGTTATCTTGACCCTGGAAGCTCCCGGTTCCATGCCAATCAATGCATGCTTACTCGCAGGGACCTCAGTCATGTGATGAAGTACGGAATCAATTGACTAAGGTACCCAAATACATGGTAGAAAATGTCCAATGACTGATACTCTACTACTGTATCCATGATTCTCAGCAACAGTACTACGAGCCAACAAGATCTATACAAGGGGGCAAGTGCCTTGCTACTTAACCATACAATCATGAATTGAGCTCAAGATCTGGCTACCGAGAGTCACAACGGGTCCGAGTTCCACCAAAACAACCCACCTTCCTGGAGATGATAGGGAAACATCAGCGATTAAAGAACTACTGCCAGCGCCAAGAGGAGTTATTACATACTAGCCTGTTATCTCAATTGTCATCACATGAGTGACCTCCGACTCAAAAGGGACGAAGGACTATGCTGTATCGACGATTTCCCGTTTGGCTGGATAGCCAATGAGATATGCCGCATCGGCATCATCGCGCTTCGCAGGATAACCGATCAGATACGCTGCATCAGCGTCATCTCTCTTAGCTTTGGCTGGGTATATCCGATGAGGTATGCTGCATCAGCGTCATCGCGCTTTGCTGGGTAGCCGATCAGATACGCCGCATCAGCATCATCCCGTTTCGCAGGATAACCAATGAGGTATGCGGCATCCGCGTCATCTCTCTTTGCCTCCGGAGCCCCTGGAGTTGCATAGTTTAGAGTACGGCTTTCAAGATCACGGAACTAGAGACCGTCGTACCTTCGGATGGGACAGGGGCAGCGCTTGCACCCAGCAAGCAAATAGCCAACGTAACAAGAATATTCTTGGGGACCATCCTGATGATGAAGAACTCGGGGATGAATACAAAGGCACTGTAACAAGGCGTATCTCAGGGGACAGGACAACAAGCAATGGGATATCGAGATGAGTTCAGTGATTTGCATTTGTGACTGACTGTGCTGCTTGAGTAGTGTGATCTATATACCATTCTCAGTCATGAAATGGAAGGCTCCAGGCCATGGTACTCAATCAATCGGACAGTATACAATGCACAATTAATCCACGAATCGATAGATGCTTGCAATCTCTCATCGTCTATTGGGGATGCTAATCGTGGACTCTGCCTCCATTCCTCTGTCTTCTATTGCCTCTTCGGGCGTGTCATACAGATGGGCTCCCGTCGGTATAGACATCTCTTGGTGTCTCTCCTGCAACTAGACATGGGTGTTCCTATCAGACAAATTGGCTAAACTTGGAACTATCGAAGAAGATGATGAAACATGACGAATCCCCGTATGTTCACTATCCTTGTCCAGAACCCCGTGGACCGGTGGGGCGAGAACCGAAGCTTGCGTTACATTGCTATCGAGACGCAAGTCGGAGATATCAGATGCCCGTCAAACCAGGGTATTCCTGGCGATTGCATTGTTGTGATTTCTGGATAAATGGATGTCGCGTCATCAAGCAACTCCATGCATGATCAAGGCTGCATAATGTGGTTGCATCTACTCTACGCCTCTGACGAGCTTCAATTTGGAAGTCCCGCGGGGCTGAGCGTAAATCCAAAAAGCCAATTTATCAACGTCGCGATTGAGAATTCATGTCGACTTTGTGTTTACGACTTGTCCAGGTGATGGTGCTAAGCTGCTGGTCTTAGCGTGATGGCGCTGGCTTAGCCTCATACAAAGACAACGAAGCATTGGTAACATGTGCTACCCCGTATTCTTCCGTCCGCCTCGCTTATCGAGCCATCAATGCTTATCGCTGCCTGAATCAGGTAAGATCGTCATATTCTTCGCCGGCGGCTAATTTACTTTGAGTGTCTCCGCACTATTCTACTCCATTCCACCCACCCACCCTGCAGGAAACTCGGGATCGTATTTGCGATTGAAAAAAACCGCGTGAGTTACAACTGATAAGGTGTTCTTCATCCACATGGGTGAATGAGGGGTTTAGGGTATCCTTATTCTTGAGTAGAATTCTTGAAGCTTCGATCGCATCTCTGGGCAATAGGGCTTTATCGCATTTTCCAACCCTTCGCCCCCTCTCGATGACAGGCTTCATCACAAATAGTTCCATGAGAAAAATCTCTACCCTCAGCGAAACCGCCTCCACTCCCAATATACGACAGGCCGGGATTATGCGATTCCTCCAGCGCTCCTCCTCTAGAGAGGTTCGGTTTGAAAAGCTCTCTTCTGAGGAGGACCCTCTAAACAATAACGATGACCAAGTGACATACGCAAGCCGCAACTGGCACCACTTTTGGTTGTCGCCATGGTACTTGCACCTGGCTCTGTTGACTTTCAATGCCTTCTTCTATCTCTATATCGTCATGAAAGGACAATCCGACAACTATGTGCCCTGTCAGTATAGCTTCCCGAAATTCCAAAAGAAATCGTGTCTCATCATCTGTGTGATCAGCCCCTGCAAGCGAGGCTATCGCTTATGAGGAAATATACTTCAACGCATCTTTGAAGATTGAGAGTCCATTTACAGGCGAGCCTCGCCCCGAGCTTGACCAAGCCTGGACCGACCTACTCCAATGTAAGTCGTTCTGGCCGCCACAGACCAAGCTTTCCTCACACGCGATTAGATTCCAGCATTGCAGTATCCGGTGAGGACCTCAAAAGAATCAGCAAGACCTCAATCCCGATTCCCGGGGCCAAGAACTTGTACTGGGTTGACCTCAGCGTAACCCATGAGCTTCATTGTATTGTATGGCTCCCACCTGTTTCAAGGTCACCCGAAGCATCATCGGCTAGCACGCTAACAGGGATGTCCAGAAACGACTGTACCAGTTCTTCCACCGGGATTACTATTTCCCCGACCTGTCGCCAGAAGAGGAGGAGCTGAACTACATGCACACGGGTGCGTCTGATGCTCCTTCCACCGTTTCCACAGAACAACCCTGCTGATGCCATCAGATCACTGTTTGGAGATCCTGCGCCAAGCGTCAATGTGTCACGGCGATGTCTCGCTGATCCCCATGCACTGGAACGATTTCTCGCCCATCCCCGAGGCGGACTTCTCAGTACCGCACAAATGTGTCGACTGGGAGAAGCTACGAGCGTGGACACGTGACAACTCGGTTGATGTAATGAGGCCAAACTTTTTACAGCATCCGCGATTAGGTATGCTCGCATGTCACACTGCAGGAAGGAAAAGGCTGACAATCCTAGGGCCGTCGTTTCCCGACGGCAGCAATCACGGGGTGGGGGTTGAACACAAACATACTCCAGGAAGGGGTTGAAAGTTTCACTTTACCGTCAAATGTTCTGATTGCGGGAGATATTGGATTCTGGGTAGCAGTAGTGGGGACTTGGCCTAGGGACGCTTGATAAGCTAGTTCCAGTATTCCTGCGAAGTCCAGTAACAAGCCATTTTTCTTGGCTCAATGCTCACTTGCTTGGTAATCCAAAGTGCGTGCGACCGAAAGCTATTGTATCCTTTTCATAAAAAATTGATCGTCAAGATATACAGTCAATCTTGTCAATTATGCACAGATTGTAGGGCGGAAGGGGCCGAACGAAAGGCTCTATACTCATCAGCTGCAGTTGTATTTTGTTTGAGTTATACTCCACAACATGCGATCTTCCATGGGGGTAGCAACCCGCTAAGCTGCTGAGTTCATGATCAAAACTGGCCTACTGTAGCCATTCGACCAAGTTGGTGTGGCCGGACGCAACGAGGAAAGCGACGAACCGATGAGCCCATAGGCAATGGGTATTGGCGCCGAAGACATCAACAACTTGGAACCAACCCACCCACGGAGTCATATGTCTGCAAGGGATATGCGTTGCTGCTTGATATTTACATTGATCTATGATCATCGGGGCTATTCAAAGGCTTCTTTAGTGCATGGGTTGAGTTCTTAATGAGGCGCCTTCATAGCTAAGCCGCAACAGGCAGGCAAAGTCCTCTGGCGAGGGCTTTCTAGGTTCAACGAACATGAATCAAATCAAACCTCTCGTCTCCTCAGTACTCTTGACTCCCCCCTGCGATCCAAGACAAGACAGACCCTTTGAAACTAGAAGTCCTCTCATCGGCGTCGTACAGGACGTCAGCGACGGCCCTGACCACCCTTCGCCCGTTGCGTACGACGGCCCAGTTACGCCTCCGGGACCGCCACCGCACAAGCAAGCATCAATAGGCCAGAGGGTAAGTGTATGTTGAAAAAGTGGCATGTTGAAGAAGAGATTCGGCTGTTACTTATGTAATGCCTGTGAGAAAAAGACAACTTCTGGAATCAATTGGGATAGAGAGGCGTGATAAAGAGTTCCAGTAGTGAAAGGACATTCACCGAAAATTCTTTTGTTGCTCAAAACGCCCCTGCACTCTACACTTCCCTACTATCACAGCTTTGAGTCATACTCTACGGAGACCATTTTTTAAAATGTTTGTTGAAAAGGCAGTGAATCAAAAAGCCGATCCTGATGTATTATATGCTAGTGATGTGGGCAGTGTCGATTTGGTTCATATCAAGAAAATCAGGCAAGCTCATGCTCAGACCAATTTCATCATACCCCTTGGAGGTAAGCTTGTCGCTTCTTACATCCATCTGGAAGTATTTGTATGTTCCAAGGCCTGTGCATTGTTAAAGATAGATGAGATATCTAGTTCAGAAGGTCAAACTATTCACGCAAAAACAACTGCCCCGTTGGTCCCCTTCCCTTGAACCTCTCCTTGCCGAAATGTGTAGCTGAGCCTTCTCTATGTTAAATCTCCTCTTTTCATATCGTGTTGGAACAACTACTACCCTCCGCGACTCAGCAAAAGAGCCCCTCGCGGGCCAAGAATCAGATGAACATGGCGATGTACGTCCAGCCGAACCAGATGAGTGCCAGCTCGAACCGATTCCCGCGATTCTGTAGCCAGATCATCATGTCAGCATCTGAGATGTAGCCGCGGAGGAATATCTCGTGCAGGCCCTGTAGCGCACTGGATTGAGCAGTTGGGGGTTGTCGCTCACCCACCTCACCCTCCGCAGTGAGATAGTCATCGGACTGCCAGTCCAGCATGTAGATTATGTAGCCGTACACGATGTGTTTGATCAGGAAGGTGGAAAGCACCAACAGGCAAACGCCAGACCCAACGCGACTGTGGAAGACATGGCGGCGGAGCCAATGCTCTATAGCGTCTCTCGTGAGTTAGATGAGGCCGAGGACAAAGACGACGAATGTTGCATCGGACATGATGTTGGGGATGGCGTCAGAGGCTTGATGGTGAGATGATGGGGTGATGGAGGCAGAGTAATGCTCACTGGTATAGTTGTGTACGTGGTGAGGATGGTTGGTGTTGGTGGAGGCCTGGGCAGAAGATGTCTTTCGAAAATCCATCTAGAAACTTCTGAATATCAACCCTTGACTTGTAGCGTGGTTGAGTGAGCTGGAAGATTCTGTTAGACGCTTGGAAGAGATGAACTCATATTGATATCTCCTTTTCGCTGCTTCCTCTGCCGGGCTTTCCTGTATCCGGCGGATCTTTTGACCTATTAGCAATCTGACAGTACTGATGGCGGTGATAGTTTTGTCGGTGACGTAAATGAGTGATGTACTCATCTACCTGGGGCTATCCAAGTGAAGAAAATAAAACCATCAACATGGCTGTGGTGGGCGGTGAGCAGGCTAGCTACATTGAGGCCTTATGGCTGCCAACAAGGGTTTCTCCGTAGAGGTGAATAGCAGGGCTCTTCACGCTCTTGTTTCAGACGGTGAATAGTGTCGAGGCTATCGAGTGCACCACAAACTATTTTGGCTGGGCGGTATCAAAGCACAGTGACACGGCTAAACAAGTCTACTACAATGCGATGTGCTATGCAGTCTCTAGGCCTTGAGGAGACTTAAATGCAGCCCCTCTTCGGAGGCATCACGCGCGGATGCGCAAGAGCTTGTTCTTCCTGGAGGCTCTTAGTGCAATCTGCGTAACAACTACGTCTCTTGTATAGTATGGTCAAACACCAGGTAAATATGACCAAAGGAATTGAAGATATTCTGATTCACTACCTACAACCCAACATAGTGCGACCTTTAGTAAGTCCGATCGATCCAATCCCCCCAAGTAGAACCCAAGACTGTAGTCTTCGTCACAGCCGCTGAGATCGAGCTCTCGTAGAGTCTGCTAGACGTGCTGGATCCATCGCCCGAGTTGTTGTATTCGTAGTACAAGGGAGTCGCCCCCTCAGCCATCGTGGTCCATCCCTTGGGGTTGATGATATCAGAAAGGACCGAATTCTGGTAGATGACCCGGGCCAGCACTCGCCAAGGACGACCCAAGTAGACCGACTCGGTCAGGGACACTCCCGACGCGGCCTTGATGTTGCAGTTGTCGAAGGCATACCAGCCATCGTCGGTTGAAGTCTCTCGAGAGGAGGCGGTAATGGCTCCCGCTCCGTTGGAAACAATGTCGCATTCGCCGAACCAGACGGAGGCATCTCCGAAAATATAGTCCACGGCACCTATTTCTGTCAGCCATTGCGGATATGCCTGTGTCTTGGTTTTGGTGAATCCATACCCTCAATCAAACAGTTGGAGTAATACTGAGTGCCGGCTTTGACGTAAAGGGTGTCTTGGTATCCGGTAAACTGGCAGCCGTAAAAGCCCAGTTGATCTGCGTTGCCGACCAGTCTATAAGCAGCGGAGTCAGATTCAAGCGTAACATTAATTAATCAAAGTCGAGAAAATAATACATACGCCACGGCTTGGGCACCTTTTCCATATCCATTGGCGACGTTGATGTTATACATCTTGAAGTTGTCGGAGACCACGTTGACAGTGGCACTCTTGTCCAAGGACCCAGCGTCGGGTGAGGAAATGGTATGGGTGATGGTGACGACATTGTTCTTGTATGAGCCGGTGTCACTAGTCTGCCCGTACAGCGTCAATGCTCCAGCATAGTTGATGGTAAGCTGTTCAGAATAGGTGCCACTGGCGACGTAGATACATGCGGCGGCAGTTGAGGAACCAAGAGCAGTTAGGGCTGCTCCGATGGTCGAGTAGGTTTGCCCCGAGCCGACACTCAAACAGCCCGAGGGCGCACTGGTACGACTCGTTCGCTTCTCGAGGGTTGGCGCCGGAGCTGACAGGACTGGGGCAGTGAGCCCAATAAGGGCGACAAGAGCAGAGTAGAGATGCATGTCAGAAATGTGGGAAAGTCTTTCGTAGGGAAGCGCTGATCTTTTCGCAGCTGATCATGCAGTTGGCGGTTCTGGGCGCAGGCAGATATATAGGGTTCGGCCAGGGAGAAATGCGATCATGCAACGAAGGAGCCACTTCTGCAACACCTGGAGTATTTTCCACCTCTCAATTCGATGTGCCCTTGCGAGTGCCAAGGCCGAGGCACGGGGCTCAATTCTGACTGGCGCGAGCTGAGGCTTGGTGGGAACAAGATTAGCATTGACAGTGCGGAGGGTCCGGAGGAATGCAGCCCAGACGAACAGAAAGATCCACATTTCCATGAATAGGATCAACTCCTCCAATAGCCTTCCGAAACGCTCTGTTCAGACACTCGGCAGTTTGGAATTTGCGGAAACTGGAGTGCCCCTGACAATTACCGGTGTCCGTCACAGGAACAGGCTCAATTTAGCCGGGGTAGCAGCGGGAAGCTGAAACGCTGGATTGCCAAGGGCTCCTCTCGGCCCTGGCTAAATTGCCCCGCTTGTCACACTAGGGTCTTGGGCTCGTAGTCGAAGTAAAGCATTGGACACTCTGCCAGACACCTCCAGAACATCCCTTGTACCATCTACCTCCAATTTATCCGCAAACGAGGCAGCGGAGTTACCGCACGTGGCCCGGACCGTTGGAGATAGGTCTAGCACCGCATCAGTTTCTCCGTCCAGCCAGCCCCACTGATGTTTCGCATTCACATGTCAAGCATGCAGTTCGTTAGAGGCAGTGCCTCGAGACGAGAGCCTGAAACAGGCAATACTGTTACTGCTGTCCGTGATGAAAATAGCACGCCGTGTCTCGCATTTCAGGTAAGGATCGTCCATCTGAGCTTCACTCTGCTATATATCTAGGCTTGCGAATGATTCAGCTCAGGTAACTCCATCGATAATCTCAAGTATCTTTTGTGTCTCTACCCTTCAGTATGGCACCACACTGGACGTCGTTGCTGCTGGCGGCCGTTGGCCTGGTTAGGGCCGCCCCCTCACCCGTGCAACATAGTCCGGATGCTGCGCTTCGGCCTCGTGCGGTCTGCACTCCCACTGCAGGAGGCAGCTCTTCTATCGACGACGTCCCTGCCATCACCAAAGCCATTGCTAGCTGTGGTAACGGTGGCACTATCGTCATTCCCGAAGGCACCACCTATTACCTCAACAGCGTCCTCGATTTCGCTGGCTGCACGGGCTGTGACTTCCAGGTCGAGGGGTTGCTCAAGTTCGCCAGTGACACCGACTACTGGGAGGGACGCACTGCCATGATCAGCATTTCCAA